CAGGAACCTCATTTGTGCTCATCTTGTCACAAACACGATGCTAGCCCAGAGTTTGCTGATAAACCTTCACGTGCATTAACAAACCTGGCCACGGAAGTTCCCCAAACGTACCTGCACACCCTGATTCTGCCTACAGCACGAAAGAGGATTTCAGTGGGCACTGCCTGGCTGCCTTCTCTCAGGAGATCCTCTGTCTGAGGCAACAGCTGAAGCAATGTGCCTTGACTGGACCTTGCCCTCCAGCCGTACCTCTAACAGGTGAAACTGGGAGGAGGAGGCCCCACAGAAATCCCCTGAGGACATTCATAGAATCACAGAATGGTTTGGGTTGGAAAGGACCTTAGGATCATGCAGTTCCAACCCCGCCTGCCATGGGCAGGGACACCTCACACTGAACCATGGCACCCAAGGCTTCGTCCAACCTCAGGAATGACTGACACAGATACCTTATGAATGCACATATCAGCAACCAAACAGGGAAAAGAATGATGCCTTTATACTAAATGCACTGATTAGCGAAGAGCCTGGATTAACACCTATAAAAGTTGAATTCTTCATATAAAGAAGTCAGCAAACCTGCTGCTAGGAAAACCTCCTTGAGCACCACCAGATGATCCTGCCTCCTGATCACAACTAACTTAACTGCAAAGGTTGGCTCCATGTTTTATTCATCGCCCACCTTGCATGTTAAGGGGGGAGATAACGATTATGCTTCTTTTGGGATGTTATATTAGAGAACAGGTTGGCTTGAAGACTAATATTAACCTAGTCTTGCTAATCTAAGGAAATAATTCCCCGCAATGTGGCTGTTAAACGACTGCTGACAGGCAGGAGGTTTCTGGATGCAGCAAGACAGCCCAGGAGAGGCAGTTGTGAGGAGGCCTGCTGGCTGTAACCAGGGGAGCAGCCTGAGCTGCCTCAACAAGCCCATGGGGTTGGCACTCATTTCCCTTTGGTAGCTCTGCACAGGTTCACACAGCAGTCCTGGAGCTCACCCACTGTGAGAGAGCTCTTGCAGACATGGTAATTCTCTGGAATTCTAATGATACCTTTGTGTAACGTTTCAGTAGGGCACTATTAGTCAGTATTTAGGATGATTCAGTATTAATTATTATTAACAATTTCCATTGTGCCTCCCCCGTTCTGAGCACCCAAACACCCACCAGGCACCCTCCAGCCCTCCTGTGGCACCACATCTCCCTCACACCCTCCCCAGATCCCACAGCGTGACTGGGATTTCACCATTATTTCCTTTACAGACACAGTTTCCCTTTTCTTCCCCACTCCTCGCAGACGCTTACTGCTGAACACAGCTGTACCTTTGAGCTGACTTTCCTCATTCAGGTTCACAAGGCTCCAAGTGTGTGTGGATTAAAGCAAGCCCCAAACCCCCCATCTCAAGTACCTGCTAAGACATTTCCCCCTTCCTCCTGCTCTACCCCGGGGCTCCAGCCCTCCACCTCAGCAGTGGCTGTGCTGTGACCCTCTGAGTTTATAGCGCTTGCTTCCATTTCCCAAGGGAAAAAAGTCTTGGAATTGGGTTTTCAACGGCACTAGGTGCAGCTGTGGAAAGAAAGGCTGTTCTCACGCTAAGGATCGAACATAGCCGCTTCCAATACAGGTTGGTTCTGCCAGGGGTTTCAGAGAGGAAACCCAAGGCAGCAAGGACACTCCAAGTCATTTACTCAGCCATTTCACTACTCACAGGTTGGCTTTGCTTTTTCTGTAGTCTGTGAAGCGCATTAAAAAGAAAAGTTCAAGATCCACCATGCTGTCATACACTCGCCATTGCGGGCATGCACCCAGTCCTGCTGATACCAGGGAATAAAGGGTTAACATTGTGCCTGCTTGCTCAAGCAGTCGCTGTGCTTGGTGAAGCAGAACCATAGGAGTCAAAGTTGCTAGAATGGCGAAGCAGAATTGTAGGAGTTACAGCTGCTAGGCAGAATTGTAGTAGATGAGATTCATAACTTCACGTTTAAGACATTCTTGTTTAAATAGTACCATAGAAAGAAAAGGAACAAAAGATAGCCAGAGTAACAACATTTGCAAACTTGACAAGTTCTTGCTTTAAGATACATAAAACCAGCTTGTACCAAACCTGAGGTTTGGACAGGAGCCGAAACCCTACTGAGTCTGCGTGAAAGCAAGAGGTTACTCGCGGTGATGAAGAGGAACTACAGGCCTTCATCCCTACGACCCCCTAATGACCACCACCAGGAGGCACTGCACAAACGCGTCAATGGGACGAACACCAGAAAACTAATTGTAATACTAGACGGGAATAGGTTTTGCATATGTATTAGGCATGAAGCAATCTCATGTTTATGCAATCATTGTATGTAATAGAAACAGACTGGCAAAGGAAAGGTGCGCATGCTTTTGGAGGAGCGATCCCCCATGCGCCTCAGTGCTGAATAAAGCATACCTACTTTACAACTTTAACGAGTTGTGGAGTCTACCTGTGTACCACTGCTGCTGCCCTGGAGCAAAGCCAGCGCTCCTGCTGCATGCGGCGGGACCAAGGTTAGGGTCCAAGTGCAGCACGGAATGTTTTGTTACCTGATAAGAAGGCAATTCAACTCACATCAGACATTCACGGACAATATACACGTTCTCAGCAGCCCTTCTCCCATGCAGCAACGCTCAAGAACAAGCATAAGTGAAAAGAGGAAAAACAGCATTAAATGCAAAAAAACCCAAACCTCATTTTATTACCTGGTAATGAAGAAGTTAAGGTTTTGATAATCTTGAGTTTAGAACTGCATGCTGCAAGGAAAAACAGCTTCCCTACAAGCTCACAGACCTTGAGGAGATGGAGAAGGCTGGTACATGAACCATGGGGATCAGAGGATGAGGAACACGTAACTTCAGACAGATGAGGAAGGCAAAGTGATTTTGAAAAGCTCCGCAGAACAGAAGGCAACCATGTAATTGTGCTCCTGAAGGAACCTGGTTCATCCTAATACTAAAAATCACACCTCGTGAGATCAGAGACCCCTGCCTACAGAGACCCTTACTCATGGAACAAGCACAGTGAAATCAATCTATCCTGTGTCATTAAACAGAGACAAGAGAATGTGAGAGCCAATGGCTGTAGATACAGGCTGTTAACAGAAAACACTGGTTTCACTAGTTGAAAAGCATGCAAGTGGAGAGTTGGCAGCCAAGGTTGTGCTGGTCCTGTGCAGCTACCACCCAGCACCCATTGCTGCACGGACATGGAATAAACAGCTATCTCAAGTGCATGTCTTCATTGGCTCCCTGCACACTGGGTGAAGAACACCGACCCGGGGACAACTTTAGTCCATTGTTAAACAATAAACTAAAAATTGACCTTTACACTGCCAGCAAAACTGATATCCCCAAGCCCCCCACACACAGCAGACACCTGACGGACCACTCCAGCTCCTAAAGGCAAAAACCTCACTACTGCCTGTAGCACGTTGGATCCTGACCCATACCAGCTCCCTATTTCACCTTAGGGTTTTTGTTAACTCCCCTCTGGCTCTAGCTTTTGTAAATCACAGGCTAGGCAGAATGGGAGTGAGAAGGAGAGTAAAACCTTGCTTGCAAGCATTTCTGAAATGCTGAAGGCAGATATTCCTGCCCCTTTCATTTCTCTCTGAAAGGAAGAGGGGAAAGATGACATCTTTCGTTAAAAACCCAAATGAAGAGCGGGAAGTTTGAACAAACCTGGAAAACTAAGAGCTGCTTCTTCAGCCCCCACTGACTGCAGCAGGAATTGAGGATGCTTAGTGAAACCTGGGAAAAGCCCCTGACCACAAATACTAGATGAAAAGTAATAATATTTAAACACTTTACATCATCAAAATTGAGAATGTAAAATCACGACTGCAAGGACTGAGGGGCAGAAGGTGAAGTACAAATAATATAGTCTAGTGCTAAATTGTGACTAGCCAAAGAACAAGTCCATCAACAGCATACTAAAGGAATCTTACAAAGCTTTATTAAATAATACAGATACAACTCATTATTATTTACATCCAAATTGTCAATTTTAAGTAGTACTAGTGCGTAAGGCACAACTCCAGAACCAGCCACTAAGTTACACAACACTCAATATAATAACATGTAAGAATGCTGAGTTTTGTAATATTGTGTGAAACCAAACCTGTATGCCACGAACAACGTCTGCACTCCACTCCTCTACTTGCCTGCAGAGTTCTGCACACAATGTATTTTGCATAAACTATTTTGTTACTTGAAGTAGGGCAACTGCCATCACTGTCATTATGGTCCTTAGGAGAGACACCCAGCATATTCACAATTCAGACTGTGATCCTTGCTATATGTAAACAAAGTCCTTAGCTGATAGCTGCAAGATCCTCTTTATGGATTAAAAACTACCGAGATTAATATTATAATCCTCAAAATAATAATCCTACTGCAATACTTCTTGTTTTCCTTTTTTCCCCTATTCTCAGGGAACTACCTTAGGACTAAGAACTGGAATCAGGTCTTTCCAAATGAATTTTACACATAAGAAAAAAGCTCAAGTAAGCATTCCTCACTGCCATCTTGTTTAGAAAGCAAACTACGTATGAGCACACAGCGGTAACTGCCTGGGTGAGCAGAGTACTTCCTGGTGTGCCCAGAATTGTGCATTTTATACCCGTCTGTCAAGAAGAAAACCAAAAAGTCAACCAAAAGACCCCCACTTTAATACTTAAGCAATTAAATCCTACATTGTACTTTACAGACTTACAAATGAGCGCTTATTAACAGGCTATTGTGGTACTGGGCAGCTGAAAGGAAGATTCTGGGTGCGGCTATATCTGTTTGTACATGAATACACCTGAGAGGAGCAGACTGAACCAGCTGAAGAGGTCACTCATTCCAAGTGTGAAACAAGCCACTTTCCAGTGCACCAGGTAACTAGTGGTAATAAAAGGCGGCTCAGCTTCTACGGAGGTACTTTTATGTGTGAAACAACCTATTTCTATCAGAACACAGTTAACAGCTTTCAATTAACCAGAAGAAAGGTCCACTTCAAAGGCACATGCTTGCACATGCTTTCACATTCCAGTCCAAAAAAAGTGCTTACAGTAACAAGACAGGAATACTGCAATTGTACTCGAAGGAAGCTGCACTAAGAGAGTTTTGGTTTTCTTGGTTTTTGTTGTTGTAGAAACAGCTCCAAATTATTCACAGTTGTTCCAGCATTCCTAATGTTAAACCAGCACATTATGGTGATGAATGGCATTGTAAGGCTGAATGTGAGAACACTTATCAGTGCAGTACATTCCTGAGTCTTTAGAACTCAAAATAAAAAATAGTTCTTTGAAATATACAATCTCTTCATAGTTTTGGCTCATATTTGACCTATTTTTCTATTTCCCTTTTTAAAAAAAGTTCATCAAAATTTTTTACAAAAAAACAAACAAAAAACCCACAACATTTTTTACCTCTATCACTTAGACATAACCTCCAGTTGCTTGAAGAGTGCAAGAAAGCTCAGCATAAACTCGGCTTCTGTCCAGCCAGCCTTGTCATCTAAGTGTAAAACAGCAGGTAAAGGAAATTCCAAAGAAGTGAACACTGACAAAAAAAAATAAGGCAAAAAATTCAAAAAGCTCTAAATACATATTAAAAAATAAAAAAGAAGCCAGTTCCAATTCCAGAGATGAATTACAGCAAAACTGTGAAAGTTCTGACAGTCACAATTGTTAAAGGCACTCATTTTTGTATTTTTCTGCTTTTCCAGCCCTAGCGCACAAGGATGAGTCCTGCTGCCCCTAACGGGAACCATAGCCTGTGCTCCAGAGCGTGGAAGATGGGCTTGTTTTCCTGCTTGAGGACTGAGGACTGAAGGGAAGCACAGGTGATGCGGAGAAACCTAAAACCCAGGGAAAAGGAGAACAAACCCAGTCAGACTCAGGAGTGGTGGAAGTAAGAAACAAATAACTGCTGTCATCATCTGCTGCAACACCTGGCAAGTGACTCTAACGATCTGTTCAAAGTGAAACAACCCCTTTACCTTATGGCCTGTTAAAAAGATATCTTCTATGTATCACAATTTTGTAGTGCTCCCTAGTAAAGATTTTAATTCAAGAATTAATTACATTAGGGGGGGGGGGGCACAACACATTTCACCTTGGCAAATAACCCTGAATTTGCCTTATTTTATCTGGAGTGTCAGGTACGTGTATTCATAAGCAGGACTGCAGCTCACTACAACTTGGATGCAGCTGTAATAGTGTGCATTTTGTTTTAATGGCCACTGTCTATCACAGGCCTGCCAAGTGAATGGGTGGGTTTTGCATATTTCTGAAAGAGTTTGATTCTGCAACGCTGCACATAGGTAAAATAGGGAATAAATGATACCAAAACCACAGCTAAAACATGACTGCAAGATCAGAAGTAGTGAAAGAACAAACTGTTCCCCGAGCAACACAACTAACTCTTCCATAGCCCTGTGTCCTTTGCCCCCTGCCCTTGCCCTTCCCAGTCTCTTACAGCAGCCCCAGTTCACAGTACCTTCCAGCACGCTGACAGCACCAGCGATGCAGCGCGTGCCACAGTTCGGTAGGAGCAGAACTGTGGATATCTCTCCTCTACCCATCCAGTGATTTGCAGGAATTCCTACACTTTCAACCCATTCCCTATTTCCAGTGTGGCTGAAGTTGGCTGAGTGTTTCACAACAATTAGCAGTGGGTAAAGGGGAGGATGGGGAGTGGAGCAGAAGCAACAAATGTCATAGGAACTGGCACAGTGCTGCTTGTAATATAATTCAGTACAGAGTCTCTCACAGTCATACTTCCCTGTGTTCAATCCCAGCAGAACAGCCAAAGTAATCAATTCATTCAGTTAGAACTGGGTAACAGCTGCTTACTATTATAGGTGTGTTGAGGAGTGGTCCTTGGGGTAAATGCTGGATGACTGTGCTCTTCTTTGGGTGAGAAAACTGCATGATAGACTGGAAGACATGGTAAAAAGCCCAAAATCAAACAAAAAGCCAAACCAACAAAATCATTTTGCATGGCAATTATTGTTCTGTATCTTACAGCTAATGCACTGTAAGAAGTTACAGAAAAAACACCTGGCAATCTTTAGGTTTCTTACCTATAATCATAACAGCTGTCCCTGCTAGTAGTGCAAAAAGCGTGAAGAACATTACTTGGTAAGAATCAAGAAAGTGCTGGAACAGGCTGGCTCCATCTGCAGAATTGATTAAGAGGAGACAATACTGAGTTAGAAGAATGCCCCTTCAATCTGCTTTAAGAGAGCTGAGAGCTCTTAACTCAAACTGAGATAGACAAAAAAAAGGGTTTTATCTACAGCAAATAAGTGTAATCAAATCAGGTAATACAACTTTGATTCTAGTGACTATTTCCAATGCTGTCTTTGAAAAATTTGCTAATAACAGTTGAAGATATACAATGTCTGAAGTATGTTCTTCACTTTCCCAGCCCCCAAGTGATGACTGATTTTCAAATTAACAAGGCATGCTTGAGCATAAACAGAAGCAGACCAAAAGCCAAAAATGCTTTCAGACACTTCAGCACTGGATACTGACACCAACTCGAACAGAATATTTTGGGCTGACCCAAGAGGGAAATACGTTCAGCTTCAGTCATAATAAGGAATTGTATTCAAGTCCTCTGGTCTCGGTGAGCAGCCTACATGTCCATCAGAATGTTAGCTGCCAGGTCAGGTTTTCACATGCCAAATTTTGTAACCTCATGAGCATTACTGGAAGTTAAGGGTTTAGAGATAAACTTACGTTTCACTGGTGCACTGGTTCTGTCAGTCAAGTAAATCACTGTCACTGGGATGGTGATAGACTGGTCAGTCACAGGACTAGAGACAGTAAGAGTGGTTGATAAGGATCCCTGGCTTGAAACTCTTGGGTCAGACAGACTAACAGTGTAGACTACATAACTAGGCAGCCCATAGGATTTCTCCTTCTCAAATGCCTTCACTCTTGGTGATCCAGATTTCACCTGCCAAGGAAAAAAACCAACCTGAAGTAGACTGCTTGAGAAAGCCCAGCACATGCCCATCTTCCAGGCCACACATCAGAAATCTGTTACTCCCCAGAAACACAGAGCAGCTCGGCCTCAGGAGTCTTGGCTGCAACTTCACAGTGACACCTGCAGCACTAAACCCCTGTTTATTGTTATGGCTGTCCTGCTAACTGCCCTTTCTGCGGGCCCAGGCTAACCCCACACAGGCAGAAATCAAAGCAGCCCTTACTGAGCCAGGGGCAGTCAAACAAGTATGTGGGCAAGAACCTACCCTAGATGTTGGGGATTAGGCAGACTTTCTGCTTCCCCCCACATCCTGGATAGCACACAGGAAAGCCTGACACGTTTCTACTACCCCAAAACAAAAATGAAAACTGAAGAGGAACACATTCCAAGATGAGTATTTCCAAATCATCTCAGGAACAATCTTGACATGGTAAAGGTGGCACAGAGTGTCTTTGGCTAGAAAGCTGCATGTAACAGAATAAAATGCTTGCAGCTGTGATGTGATACTTTCCAGCAATGCACTCACCTCCAGGGTATCAAGAATTTCGGTGGCACCAAATATTTTCACATCGGAGCTCGTGTAACGATTGCTTAAAAGCATTTCCGTTTGGTCAGCATAAAAGCCGGGATTGAATGGCACCTCAGTACTGATCTGCTCCCCAGAGAAGTGGCTGCTTTGGATCGAAGCTGTAACTCTGAGAGCAGTTCTACTCATGCTGAGCTGCTTCAGCTGCTTGTCAGTGAGCCTGTGCATTGTGATGGAACAGGTGTAATGTCCTAGAGAAACAAAAGCACTTTTGACTGTTAATTGCTCATCTTTTTTGATTTTTCTTTCATGCAGGGTGAGATTTCTCTAAAGATGTCTTTAGAGAGCTAAAAATCTTCAGAGAAGAGCTAAAAAAGGTGGCAAAATTCAAAAAACAGCAAGATCAGGAGCACACAGGCGAACAGGACAGTGTGTCTACTGGGCTAAGCATCAACCCAAGCACTAAACCAACTGGGGGTACTTTTTGTCCCAAACTAAACATCCTGATAAAAACATGGAAATGGCAGTTTCCAGTCACGTTTTATTGTAATATGCCACTGAGACTCAGTTCCACTCTGAATGGAACATTTATGCTAAGGTTGATGGAAAAGCTTTACTGAAAACAAAATTTCACATCCTATTTCATACTCTCTTCTCCTGATGTTATTAAAATTTTAGTCAGTTACCATCACCCTTTCTGTGGGCACATGGGTTATTATTTAGAAAAGCTTCTTTAAAGGTTAGGTATTCACCACGGTTCTTGTCTCTTACAGGATCTGTCTATTATTAACAATAAAGAGAATAAAAGAAATCCCCAGTAGGAAGATACAAAGCATAAGTAACAAGCAGCTCACGAGGTGCAGCACAGAGGCAGGCATTATTATGCAAGGTAGACCAGTGTTTTACACAGGGGGTACAGGGGTTAATTCACCAGGTAATTCATGTCATTTCTATCAGTCCATGGTGCTCTGGTTCTTTTTAAATCATGTTATAGTTCTGAAATACTAACACATGGCTTAGACTTCCACAATTTTATTTACCTTTCCACAGTACCTGGTCACTGCCCCTTCCTCTTAAGTCCCAGTTCAGGCTGCTTTGGGGATAACACAGGAATTTTGCCTTTCATAAGACATTACAGCACTTGGGTTGTGCAGAACAGTTTGAAAGCATACAAAGAATTCCTATACAAATCCTTTGTATTATTTGAACACAGAGTTGAAAATGTATTACTTTCACCAGATTTTCACATTTACACTATTCCCCTCACTTAAATCACTGAGGTTAGTTCCACAGCAGTAACTACAGTGCCAGGGCTTTTAAAAGGCCAGTTTCAAACAGAAAGAATAGTTAACTGCAGAGCATAATTTGGTGAAAACTAAAGATCCTTGGTACAGAGACATTAAAACTCATGATTGCTTCTCTTATCCCTAGCCTTAACTTCCACTGTACTAATGGCAAAGGCACTGATGTGTGGCAAGAACATACCTCAAAGAGCCACAAGATGTTTACAGCTACAGATACCTAATTTTGGAGTATCTGTCACCTTAGTGCTCATTTGTACCAGCTCAAGGAGGAAGTGATTTATTTCCATAGTTTCACAAATATGGGGCTTGCTATCCCTTTCTAAATTGTTAGACACAAGGCAATCTAGTTTTTGTACAGTTCAGCATTCTGCAATACCCTCACTTTCCTCTCAAGGTCCCACCTTAAGGTCCTTTCCAACCCTAACCATTCCATGCTTCTGTGATTGGACTGTCTCTAAATACAGGAGCAACAACGTGCAAAATTAGGATCTAAATTTGCAGTGTTTCCCCCCTCCCCCAGGAAAACAATGTTTCTGAGTTTCTTCCTGGCTTACTACTACAATCCTGAGAAACACATGAAATGGGCTTCCACTGGTTCCCAGCTCTCTGAAAACAAGTGAATGGTTTAGTCAGATAGAGCTGACCAAGGAGAGTACACGTTAACTCCTCACTGCAGCCTGAGGTCCTGCACAGCAATGCTCAGAGGCTTCAAGAAGAAATCTGCCGGGTCAAAGAAGTTTGGACTAAACCATACCAGAATTCCAAGTGTCTGCCTGGAGCACGGAATCTTGTCTCATCTTACCTGAAACTGCATCAAATCCAGGTTCTGCTAGAAAAATATCCCGTGCTGGGAAGTCAAACACACCGTTGCTAAAACCCAGATGGCAGCTGATAATGGACTGTGGTTGTAATTCAGAAATGGCTTCGATCTGAGCAGGTGAGCACTCCCCTAAGGGGGGGAAATAATTTAATCTCTAATTAATTACTTAGAAAATAAAATTATAACTAATTCATTTTTAATTCATTAAAAGCAAAACCATGGCTTGAAATACCAGGTTATTCTGCCACCTTCTGAAGTAGCTTCACAAGTTTATGATGATGTTAAAATAGCTGGAAATCACGGAGATCTGCCCTGTTGCAGATCTGGTCCCAAAGAAACAGCAATTTTATATGCTGTGGATTTTTCTGACCGGAATAATTTATTCACAGGAGAGACTGAACTAGAGAGGATTTTCAGATCGGATGTGGCTGCTGAATAACTTACATGAACCTGGGAATCTTGATTCATTTTCTAGTTTCTGGCAAGATGGGATTTTGGTAGGCTAATGGTTTACATAAGGCACAATAAAATACTATACGGACAAGTACAAAGTTAAGCTAAAAACTAAAAGGAACTCGACCAGTTTATTAAATAGAGGACATGACATGATGCTTAATCCTTACATTGATCCTTTTGCTGATAATTTCTGTGGAACATTGAAGGATGGTCACTACTTTAAGCATGCTAAGGAAGAAAAAGTAACTTCAAGAAGGCAACTGGAATTATCAGCAACTTACCAGCTGATTGCTTACTAACTGTTTTTTGATAAGATCAAAAATGACTCTTCTATTATCTACCAATTTTATCAGTGAAATCTTAACAGTGCCCCTGAACAGCCTCCCAGTTCTGTAACATGGCCCTAAGATTCCGCTAGATTCTGGAAAGGCACTAGAGGTTCACAGAGATCTTGCAACACATTTCACAAACCCTTAAAACCAAACACACCCCCCCCCCCAACACACCCCCAACCACCCATCACAAATATAAACCCACATACAAATAACTGCAGATTTCCTTTTCCATCATACCTCTCAAGTTTGTATTTCTTTCTCCAACTGAAACGACTACTTTGGAGGCTGCAACTCCCTGTAAGCTTGCTTTGACTCCACTTACATGCATTGCTGTAGTCCTCTGAGGTACGTTAATCAATACCTGAAAAAAGGATGAAGTACACTGCTACCAAAAACTGGATTAACAAATAAGAATTAAGGCAAAATCAGATCAAGCTGGCTGTGAAAGACACACGCCCCTGAATGGGGAACAGAAGAGAACACTCCAAGAGGTCACCTTTCTCTGCTTGCAGAAGCTGCCTTTGCTGGCAGTTAAACATAGTAAAACCTTTTTATCCAGCCCCCAGAAGTTAAGACACATAAAGCTCTAGGTCCAAATTTAATTTCAAAGGCACATCTAGTGCTTATAGGAGCTGATAGCCTGAATTGTGTCAACAGCAGGACTGCGCCACAGGTAGGCAAAGTAACACAACTGAGTAGTTCTGCTCAGTGACGCACAGTAACGCTCCACAGCACTTAGGAAGGTCTTGCTGGCATCTCATCCTGCAGTGAAACTTCATTCACAAAAACAGCCACACTCACAAACTGCTCAGCATCTGAAACAACTTAGCCAAGCAAAGGAATCAAAGTGTGCAACGTCAGACCAGCACAGACTAAGAATAGAAACTATTACGCTAGACTTTCCTCCTCAACATCGACTGAAAAATCCCATGACGTGTTTGGATACATACCAAATACTTTCCATTTGCATTTCTAGTACTTTCCCCGTTCAAAAATAGGTTTCTAAATATTGCTAACTAACAAAAACTAAAACCATAGAATGCATTTTTGGTGAGGGTCCCCCGGAGCAAACCAGCCGTAGCAGTGCCGCAGGGTGTGCAGGGCCTCACCTCTCTGTAGGTTTTCAGGGATCCAGGGATCTCGTAGTAGATGGTGACAACACCGGCCTCCCTCGCCATGGCTGCACCAGTCTTGGGGTCGACCTGAAGCACGTTGCTTAGTGAGGAGCTCCATGTGCCCGGCGGGCCTGGCAACACACACACACACACACACACTGTTCACCAAAGGTCACCTATAACTGCAGAGCACATGAGCCCATGGGCGTCCCGACCACACAGCAGCAGGGGTACACAGATACCAGGCTCTAGAGTCTCCTGTGGTGGGAGGCTGGCAGCCCAGCACCAGACTGACTCACAGTTATGTTGACAAAGCCTGTTACTTTGCCTGAGTCAAACACAGCAAGTGAAATTAGACAGTCCTAACTCTGCATGATTCCCATGAAAACAAGCCTTTCAAGCAAACTGCATGGAAATGTCTGGAGTCTGATACGCACAAATTCAATACAAGCAACATACTGCACGGTACAATTAAAGTTAGAGGAGTTGATCAAGCCTATTTTTATCATTAACAAGAACAGTGACATTTGATTCTGAACAAACATCATAAATTATGCATTTCATTTTCCTGAGAACGAGAACGAGTCACGCTGATGTCAAATTACAAAGCTGCAAAACCACAGCAGTGCAGCACCATTTACCTTCTTGGTTCAGCAGGGAGGTGCTCAAACAGAGCACATCGCCTACCACCACATCCGTGAGCTCAGGAAAAATGGCATGTTGCACAGGAAGTGGGATGTAGTCTGCAATTCCACTCTGTTCTGCATCACAGACTTTCAGCAAGGTCAAGCCAACATTTACAGTCCGGATTACAAAGGTGTTGTTTGTGGCTCCTTTCCCAAACTGGACAAAGTCATCTCTACAAATAAAAAGCAATGCTTTTACATTGAGGCAAGTTTGCTATTTTATTATCTCTACAACAAATAGTGGGTGTTTAACTCTCCTTAGGTAGCTGACTTCTTGTTTCCAGCAATCTCAGAATCACAGAATAGTTGGGGTTGGAAGGGACCTTCAAAGCTCATCATTGTCCCCTGCAATAAGCAGGGACATCTTCACCTAGCTCAGGTTGCCCAGAACCACATCCATTCTGCCCTTGGTTATCTTCATTAAAGTCTGATAAATTGAGGAAAACATTAAAATATTTCAGATGCCACTAGCAAATTTCAGTGCTCACTCATTCTAGGCACTTGCTCAAACCATACTGCAGTCAGGGATGTTTAAGCTCTAATCATGGAGCATGTACCAAAATACCATCACTGCAAATTAACTTGGGAAAACAGGATCATTTAGGATGCATCAGGGAGTGTAGTGATAGGACACGGGGTGATGGGTTCAAACTAAAATAGGGGAAGTTCAGGTTAGATATAAGGAAGAAGTTCTTTACTGTTAGGGTGGTGAGGCACTGGAATGGGTTGCCCAGGGAAGTTGTGAATGCTCCATCCCTGGCAGTGTTCAAGGCCAGGCTGGGCACAGCCTTGGGTGACATGGTTTAGGTGTGAGGTGTCCCTGCCTATGGCAGGGGAGTTGGAACTGGATGATCTTGAGGTCCTTTCCAACCCAAACCATTCTCTAATTCTATGATTATGCTGAGGAAATACTGAGGTCAAAATTATGTATGAGAACTACCTCCTAATGTGGAGAACTGCAGAGGTTTAGCATGAGGTGATCTGTCTCTTTTCTCAGGGCATGGAGAAGTAAAGAAATTTGAAACCAATGTGCATTGCTCCAGCCATATTTAAAAAAGCTAAACCACATGTGCCTGCCAGTTCTGGCATTCCCAAACACGTTGCCACATGGAGCACTGGGAAGCGCACCCAGCACAGAGCCTGGCATCAGCAGCACCGCAGAGGGGTGCAGGTCTGACAGAACAAAGCTGGGTCAAACAGCAGCACATCTCTCTTGAGGGCTCCTAGCTAGCCCTGTGCTGAAGCAGCTCTGTTATGCCTATTGGAAGCTAGGGCAGCAATCAGGGACCTCTATAGAGGTCTATATAGAAATGTCTGCAGATCATTTAGGTGAGAGAAGAGAAAATCTTTCATTCAATCCGTTTTCACTCCCCTGCTTTTAATCATGATCACTATGTTCTAACTGCAAGGTGCTCTGCAGAAAACAAGCTACATTCCATTGGTAGTGATGGAATTAGTGAGGGATTACTAATGACCACAGAAGGCTGATCCAGAACCTTCACCACCTTACATGAGTGAAGCAGGGTAACAAAGTACAGGGAGGAGAGAGAACGGAAATGCTGATAAGATCAATTGTTTATATGGATGCCATGTGATGATTCAGAGTCGCTTGCAGCAGATTGTCCCTCAGCACATCCCATGGGAGATCATGCTTATCTGGGCAACTTCCCGCTTACCAGAGAACATCCACTGCTAACTGGAACTCTTCTTTCTGCTACAATGTCTCTGAAGACCACAGAGATGAAACCCCTTTGCTAATCCCAGTCCAAGCTGTATCTTCACTTGATATCTTTGGAACAATCCTTGTTCCTTGCTGTGGCTGGGCTATGAGTGTTTGGCCTTTTTTGTTCTCTGTAATGAATACCCAAGACAGACACCTACCTGTTTGTTGCAAAGTTGAGCACGGAGTTATGTGAATGGAAAGTGTCTCCAGAGTTGTCATGAAAATGGACTGTGAAGGTCAGCGTCACACCCAGGGGAAGAGCCAGCAATGCCTCTTTGTTCTGTGTGTGCAGAACACGACTCATGGAGATTCGTAGGTATGAGATGGGGCAGACCTGTAAAAACATCAGCAGTGAAAAGCACATTAATAACGCTTTTTTTGATGCCTCTATAAAGTCATCTAAAAGGTCTCTTCTTACACAAATATCCAAAGCTGCTTCTATGAACCATTTGCTATATGTTGAGCCATCTGGCAGCTCTGGGACATGGAGCTTTTGTCATCAGCACATGTATGTCACAGAATCACAGAAGAGCTGAGGCTGAAAGGGGGCTCTGGAGATGGCCTAGTCCAGCCCCTCCGGCTCAAGCTGGGTTACCTGCACACAGGATCACGTGCAGGCAGGTCCTAAGCATCTCCCAGGATGGAGCCTCCACCCTCTCTCTGGGCAGTTGGTGCAGTGTTCAACAGCCACCACAGTAAAAAAATGCTGTCCAATGTTCAGATAGAATTCCACGTGTTTCAGTTTTTGTGTGTTCCCTCTCACCCTGTCACTGAGCACCACTGGGAAAGGTCTCCTTTCCACCCTCCCATCAGATATTAGTATTCTTCTCCAATAGCACTGGGAACTGAAGCAAGCAGTACAAACACACTGCAGACTTCAGAGACCACATTACCATCCTATAAATTAGAACTGTTAAAGTCTCCCTGGATACACAGGACCACAAGTGGCCCCTAGACTTCTCTCCCTGTAATTCTTGAACTAAAATGTATAATTCATTCCCCAGTTCCTAGAACAGGAGTAAATTGGGATGTGTGTGAGAGCAAGGGGATGAAATGGCCACTGTTTCCCCAATGCCCTTGCACCAGGTGAGAAAGCCCAGATGAAACATGCAGCTCCTAAGAGCAAAGGTTTGCCCAGCAGAGGGAACATGAACAATAGCTGCAAAGCTGCTCCCAAGGGATCCCTACCAAGCAACACCACAGACACTACAAACTGCTGCTTCTTGAACTCTCCCATGGTGACCCCAGGACTTTCAGAAGTGGGAAGGAACAACACCTGTGGTCTTCCCTCAAGCTGTGCTGGGGAGGGTTTCTGACCCACCCGGCTGCTGCTCTGGCCAGGCCATCAGCCCCCAGTACTGGCAGACAGAGGTGAAGTGTGACAGACAAAAGCAGTCAGGCCTGGCAGCACCAAGTCCAGGTTGGAAGGGGCTTGGAGTAACCTGCTCTAGTGGAAGGTGTCCCTTCCTGTGGCAGGGGGTTGGAACTGGATGAGCTTTAAGGTCCCTTCTCACAAACCAGTCTGATTCACAATTCTATGACCTGACAAACCCCAACTGGTCAGCAGGGTGCATCTGGTTGCCTCTGTGCCTCTCCTTAACCAAGACAGAAGTTAGGAACTGCTCCAGATCCTTTGGAAAAGCCTGCTAGGTTATCCAGATGTGCACACCCCATGTTTCTGCAGTAACACTCCAGTGACAGAAGTCTGTCTGAAGACAAAGACTTCACAACCATTTTTTGGTTTTGTTTTTTGAACAACACATTACTACTATTCTCTATTAATTTATCTAGGTTAAACACCAAAATTACCCAACAAAACCAACTGTATCTACTTTCTGTTACAGCTGCTGGAAAATAAATAATGGAAGGATATATAAAGCAAAACCCCGTAAATGTATACAGAAAACTATTTTAAAAGCAGCCCTTAAGCTTATCTTGCAGGAAAATCCCTTTAAATCTCTCGTTTCTGACCTAAGAGGCTCAGCTAAAATGTAAAACTCTGCAATCTGAAAACATACATGTCAAAATTTAAAAAGGGAAGGACAAATTTGGCCTCAAGCAAACAGCATCTTTGGTGAATCTAAAATAAATAACTAAATAAATGAAGGGGCTATAGTATCGGTGTATCCAACTGTCTACTCCACAGGCTGACTGGATCAGTTAGAGTTATCAGTGCACAGCAGCATCTGCATCAGCAGCTGAGGTTACAAGCCAACAAAAACCTCATTTCCCTGACAGACTGTCAAGCTTGCTTTATTTAACAGCTCAGGAACTGTCCCGCACAGGACAACAGCCAAATTTCGTATTGATGAAACCAGTTAGTTACTGTTAGAGCATCTCAGGTTTTAATGTCTTTTCATTTAAAACCCCTGACTTGGGTACAGCTGGTGCAGACAAGTGCTTAGCTTGCTGCCACACGAAGCACACTGTCACTCCTTCCTTCTACCCTCCGCCTCGGCTTATGTAAGACAGTCTGGTTTTGAGCAGAGCGGAGGGTCTCAGTGTTAAATGATGCTGCTGCAGCACTTTGGCTCTTAACTGTGTATGGCTGTAAACAGACAAAACAAGAACTTAGGAAATGAAGGATGGTGTGAAGGAGAGGGCTCTGTCTTCAAATGACCCAACAGATATAAGCTCAGCCCCTGCTCTGTCACGAGTTTTTCTACATGACCTTCAACAGAACCACTCAAACTCTCAGTTCTTCATCTGTAAACTGAAGGCAGCGGCAGTGTGTCACCTCCCAACACTACCTGAGGTTAGAAATATGGTTTCCACAGAAGTATTACAGTCCTAACGAGTACAGGAAAACAAAGCAGGTGTACAAGATGCTGAACTAAGATAATTTCCTGCTACAAAGAGCTCACAAGTTTAATATCACAGTGCACTGACAGCACAGTTCCGCAATACCCTGTGCATGGAAAGGATGCACAAGGAGAGAATTTCACTCCAGTACCACTATGTGCTGACAAAACGTCATCTGACCCAACCCCAAACTCATCAGATGTCTTTCACTCAATGGATCCAGCAGTGAAAGGGAGAAACAAGGTCATTTGGAGCAGAGCTGCAGAAATTCACTGCCACCACCTCGCAGCAGGAGTGGCATTACTGAAACTAAAGCACCACTTGTTTTTCAGTCTCCAGCCAGGAGGGTAGACACACACACTGTCCTACAGGTGGACGTTATGGCAAGAAACCAAGCCACTTCACAGTGATTAAAACAGTTAAATTTAAGACTGATTTAAAGTTACTACTCAATTTTATGTCTTTCTCCTTTAGCTGGGCCATAGGAAAGATGCTGACAGAGTAAAAAAGAATAAGAGGAGGTGGAGCAGTGAGTATCTCGAGGCTCATGTTGCTGGATGGAGACAGCTCTTGGCACAAGGACTTCTGAACACAAACAAAGGACACGTGTTCCCTTATGCCTTACAGCCCAACCAGTAAAATACATCTGACTTCAACGTAACAGTGCTCAATCATCAGATAAAGTTTTGAGGAATATGTTTCATTAGCCTGAAAACTGCTGAGTTTTGCTACATCCTTCCCTGAAGCATCCCCATTTCAGTGTGGCCCAGACACACAGGGCAGCCTTGGACATTCTCACTGCCAGCTCACCAAACACAGGCAACAGCAGCTACATCATTGCATCTGATAAGATGCTGAGATTCAACTTGTATGTAAAAGCTGAACTAGTGGGAAACAGCAGAGAAAATGACATTTTGGGGCACTGTACAGTCACCTCCCTGATATCTTGAAAATCTAGGGTTCATTTAGGTACCTCCCAACAGATGCTGCATTTATATTCACTACTCCAGATGATAATTACCTTTTTCACAAAGTGAAATACATGTTCATCACATGAACATCTTTTTTTATTTGAACTTCTGCAATTACAGCAGATGGTTAACAGCAGGGGCTGTTAACCATTCCTACTGTAGTAGCAAAGATATGCTTCTAATGGAGAATCGCAAAGCAAGAGAGACAATACTACCTTAACCGTAGCTACAATGGTCTGGTTGATCCCAAACGATTCCTGTGAAATCACTTCAATTGTTGATGATCCTACCAAAGACCCAGAGTTAAGGAAACCTGTCTCATCGATTTTTACAACAGGAACTTTTTCTGGTCCATCCAGGACACGGTAATGCAGTGAAGCCACTCGGTCCCTTAAAAAACAAACAAAACAGCTAAATGAGTAAACCCAATTTACACCAATCTATTGTGCAAATCTAAAAGATGACTATTTGATATGTGGGTTTTTCCACATGTCCGCAATAAAAGCTGAGCTTATAGAGTCTAGGAAAGAAAAGCTGAAGTCCTGATTCAAGCTCACTTCAAAGCAGTCTCGTCTGGCCTAGGTGTGTATTGCAGTCTAGTTCCCAGCCACTGCCCTGCAATGTCATCATTCACTGCTATAAACTTGATTCCAGCTCATAATGGCTAAAGCCACAACATGCAGCTTCTGTGCTATCTGCTGTAAACAATATTAGAGGGAGATCAGTCTGCCAGGGCTAACGTTGGTATTAAGAGACAGTCAGGGGCTTGATGAAGTGGATCCAATCAGTTTCCTGGAAATGCTTTTGTAGACAAGGTTAATTTCTGCAGTAACTCTCACCATGGCATTTGCATATTAATGAAGTGAGCAAACACATAAACTGTGATTAGGGGGCACCCCAGACATCAGCTGCTTCTGAGCATCACTTCTAAAAGATCTGCGAATGAGATTTTCTCCTGCTCTCAGGCTCCTCCACTGAGACAGAAATACTCTACTTGATCCTAGGAAAAAAGCATTAAAACTGGATTTTAGTTGCCCTTTTCTCGGTAATAGTGTAATTGGGTTTAGTGGTTGAGTTCAGACATAAGGGCTCCAACATTGGATATTGAAGATAATGGGACACAGACATGTACAAACTGCTCTCTGGCAACTTAATGACTGACTCTCAGAAAAAAGTGCTCAGAAGAGGTAGGAAATCACCACTAGGTGACTACAAATGACAAGGCTCCTATATAACTGTTTCAAAAAGGATGCTGAATGACCATGGTCACCAGAGCTCCAGTGAAACTGAAAGTTCCCTCCCCTTAAAAAAGGGGATGCATCCAATTCCAGGCCCTCAGCCTATGTCCTGTTGTCGATACCTGCACATTCTCTTGCTAGGAAAACCAGCTGTCAAGCCTGAAATGAGTCTGAAATGTCAGCCTTTGAAAACAGACTATGTAAAAATGACTTTTCACTTGAAAAGGACATTTTAATCTCAAAATCTAGACAGCCTCTGTGCAAGAGCTACAGAGAATATTCCATAAAGCCTTGATCACCCACAAAAAACTCCAGTGGAAATGGGCTACTGCTTCAACTGACTCAGCATCTTTTGAAGTATGGAACTAGAAGTTCAAATACTGAATTAATTTCCTAGCTACGCTCTAACTACTACAAGACTTGACAAAGACTGAGTACAGATAAGATACTATTAATCACCAGAGAAGTTGTGTATGATACAGATGTACTGTGATACGCTTTTTAAAAGCTTACTTCAAGCAGAATTGCTTTACAGTTTTGATAAACTGTTATCACAAACCAGAGTGTGAAAACTGATCACTAACCTGTTTGTCTGAAGTTTAATAAAGGAATTTGGCGACATTAAGATCTGCTCTGTTTCTACTTCTGGAGTGATTAGATGAAGCTTTTCAAACACCTGCAAAATAAAAGCCATTTTCACCTACTGTTGTGTGCAGCAGGTAATTTATTTCCATTTATTTCACCTCAAAGCAAACCAACCCTCACAGAACTGTAACACGCTTTTGTGCTTTACTTTGTACAAAATACATGGTAAAAAAAGAAAATTAAACATCAGTATTTGAGAAACAGCAGCAAAGTTGTTTCACGGCCCTAATGCTGCTTGTCCACAAGACACCTCAATTTCAGGTGGTCTGCAACAAAAACTCACTCCCCAGTTTTATTCAGGCATCACACCCGTGTGTGACTGTTGAGTGCAAACCTCACCAGCTCAGAGAACTTGGAGGTTTCCAAACAGCAGAACGTGACATGAACAAGAGGAAGGGCTCAAAGATAAACCTAAGCTGGATCTACTCCTTTGCATTTCAAACTCCTGACTTTAAATACAGACTCAAATAAAACTCCGAAATAATTAAACCGTTAACCATGAGGAACATCATCATCATACCTGAATTTGGATTTCATCAGACAGTTCTCTTGCCATGTTGTAAAACTGATTTGCTGCAGGATCAAGGACCTTAACAACAACTTTCAGGCCTGTTTTTCCCTTTACTCTGCCATAAACATCCATTGCAAAGTTGTATTTTGCAGGAAGCTGAAAAGAAGCCTTGAAGAAGAGAAACGGATTAAAGTTTTACTCATGGAAAGAGCTGATGCTGATGCAGAGGAAAGACCAGACCCAATGCTGACAAGCACCCTGAGTAACTGGAACCAACATTATTTTCTCAATTCCCATCACAGGGCAGTTCCGTTTTCCCAGGATACACATACATGCACATACAAACACACACACGATTTACCTCACTGTGTCTTGTCTTGATATCCAGAATATCCCTCTTGGTGACAGACCAGTGGAATGTTAATCCTGGCACTGCATTGCCAAATGAAAAAGGAGTCTGACTACTGGTGGTGCCCATTACATAAACTGGCATCTAGAAATACAGAAACCAACATTCTTGGTTAACTTTAGGAAGCTAACCAAACCTGCACACAGCAAATATAATTCAACTTCAAATCCACTGCTCATGAGATGGTATTTCCTACAAAGCAAACAGCTCTATGTTGGCTGCTGTATGTTACAAGAACCATGCAGAAGATTCAACCACCAACTTTGATGCACCCTCACTTGCTACATGCTCTACACCAAGCAAGCACCAGTTTTCCATCAGGAAAGACAAGCTCAGTAATTCATTTGTCCCATTTATAGCATCAAATCACTTCATCTTAGTTCAGTCAAACTCTTCAGTTTTCTAAATCTTTGTCCAGATGATCTCCCTGATTAACTGCTCTGGGCATCAACTTCCCCTTCCCACTCTCCAAACAAAGACACCATAACACAGAAAGACAAACCAGGGATCTTGCAATCCACTGACCCGGGACCAATGGGTTAGAATCAACAGCCATTTTGGAATGAGGAACAGGGCTCTTATAAAATAGAAGATAATCTGAACAGTATCTGTTGCTCTGGATATAGCAGACATACGGTAGATTTTTAGCATACAAACGAAGAAAGTCTCCACTGCAAACAGAATGAAGAGGAGAGAACCCCTGCTTCAGCAGGCCTGAATATCTGAAAATCACTCTGGTGTAAAAGGTAAACTTGTCCTGATTTCTGTTCTAGTATGCTCAGCTCTGGAGCTTCTCCACTGACAGCACATTCATTCCTGCAGCAGCAGGAGTACCCCTCAGAGCTGGAGTGCTATTATCAGATGATCTGGTGGGAATGGGCACAGCCTGCAGGTCAAGATTTCAAGGCAATACAAGCTACTCACAAATGGACTAACCTGTGTTGCAGTTTTCATTCGTGTTATTGGCGCATGAATTCTAACACCTGTGAGCTGTACTACTTCAACTTCCACTTTGTCCTAAAAGGGAGGAAGGGAAGACACTGTAAGCACTCATCAATTGTGAACTACATTCCTCTTACAGGATCTATCCACTGTTTTGACATTATACCATCACTATTGCAATGTCAGTTGTGTGTAACTTACTACGGGCAATACAGATGGACAGGACTGTAAAAAGCTACAAAAGCATTAACTTTTGATAGGCATTGAAAAAATCAGTAATAAACCCTGAAGGTAAAGGAAGACATTGACAGAATTAGAAGGAAATGCGAATCGTAAGCAGCAGGTAGGACACTGAAGAATAAAGGATGATATGTGCAATATTCTGATGTCTCCTCCTCACGAATCCTGACATTCCTGATAAATTTATTCCTATCCTATACAATGGGGAGGAAAAGGTCAGACCTGGATCTCATTGGGCAGTAGATTCAGCTTTCAAGTTCATTCTGCTTCCTGCCTCTGCATCAGGGCAGGCTGCTGCCCCACATTACAAGGCACAACTCTATTTATATATATTTTTTAAATCACTTTGTCTCCTTTGGCCTGTGGTGACAGCTTTCAAGCAGCAGAGCTCCGTGGTGTGCAGCAGCTGTCCTGCCTTGACCTCAGATGAAAAGCCAGAAAAGCTGGCCCAAGTTCTGCTGTCCTGAGTCTCATGACTCTCATGCCCCAAGTCTCAGGGCCATGTGCTCCCTTCCTGTCCAGGCCTGCTCAGCAGCCCCCTCATGCTCAGCTTGCAGGACACAGATTCTGATAGAGTATCAGGTATTCATTGCTTGGGCTTCATGGATGGATTCAGACCACAGCATGGGACTATAGCTTTCTATATAGCCTGCCTATAGCTTAAGAGACAATGTGTTTCTTAAGGAACAGTTACTTTCTGACTTCTGCTGGCATAACCTGCTGCTAAACGGTAACGTGATACAGGCAAGGACAATCTTCTGCTGTTTTAGAAAGGCTTCTTTACATGGGCATTTCTAGATTTACTGATCAATTCTATAGATATCAGACTACTCAAAGCCTCCTGGGTGATCAGCAGAACTTTATTTTAAGGTACAGCAAGATTTAGCTGTATCTATATCACCTGTGTCAGCACATGCTGAAGTTCACAGGCCAGGGAGCAATAAACACCAATTTTTCATCTCCTTAAGGAAAACAGGGAATTACACAAGGTAGCATTACTAGCCAGGGACTACTCATCCCTTTTGAGCTAAACCCATGAATTAGAGAGCTTCTTTTAGCCCCCAAACGCTATCATAAAACATTACCTGAGACACCACAACAAGCTTTCCTGTCTCTGCATCGACAGCTTGCACCACTCCTGTCACCGTCCCATTCCCGACCGCCACTCCTGTGACAAATCCCATGCTGTTCACTGATGCAACCTTCTCATTGCTGATGGAGAAAATGATGTTGGACTGAGGTTGAGGGCCTCCTTCTGAAGTGATCTATAATGAACAGCACACAGAACAACTAAAATTAACCCATCAGACATTTCTTCTGGTTAATGTTACAGGGTACGTCCCTTCCTAGCACAGCACCACGATGTCTTCAGCTAACAAAGGCTGTCTGCATCTTCCCAGGGTACCTGTCTCAGGGCTTATGTCTTCTGCACACTGGTTCCTGCATGATGTCAGGCAGGGAAATGCATGAGCTAAGCCCAAAAGTGGACTATGTGCTCCATAGAACACAATAGCTTGATGCTACATCCAGTCCAGAAAGTTTCAGAACAATTCACCTTTCTCTTCACCATGTATGGTACAGCTCTGCTCTGTGTTTCACTTTGCAGAACTAACCCACTGTGCTTAATTTCGCGGATGAGACAGATTCATTACCCCTGTGCTGGTATTTAACACTGGAAAAGCTGACACTCCCTTGACAAAATAAACATAAACCCTTTGATCCAGCAATACAGTACAATGGAAGGTGCTCAAGAATGAAGCTATTCTTGTTAGGAGCTGTGAACACAGCTGAATTGCCAACTGAGTATCTACTCCCGAAAAATAAGTCATATACATTGATTTTAAAATAGAAATGACAACAGAAAGAAAATAGACAAGATGCCTTACCTGAATCATGGCCCCAGTGATCACAGTCACCTTTCTTGGTAGCAGCCTAAAAGGAGGAAAGACCTAGAAACAGAGTTAAGGACACTTGTGTGCACACTGTATCAGTCAGGTGAATTATGTCACAAACCACCACATGCAAGTGCAAAACAGGGTATTCATTTGCTTAATTGCAGTAGATTGAACATGCAGAAACTTAACTCATCACATGCAGTTACAAAAGCTACTAAATGTGAAGCAGACCGGCAGCTGGGTAACTTGTGGACAGAATGACCTATTTTTTTTCTGGCAAACTAATAACTATTCTATAAACTAACAATGATTTACTGTTCCTAGTCTATAAATTAACAATTATTTACTGTTCCTATTCCATCATAACACAGATTTTGCTTATGTATATATTTTATCTGAAATTATTTACTTCGATCTGCTGTGGAGCAGAATTGATTCTTTGTCCTCTCTTGTCACCAACAGTTGCCATAAGACTAGTCTGACCAATGGCCATCCCATGGACAAGAAAAGCAGCAGTGTGGTCATCAAGAGCTTCACTGAGTGGGCTGCAGCAAGAAACACAATAAATTACACGAGAAACAAACACAAAGGACTTAGTGCATAGCAGTTTTATCACTAAGTGATTGTCCTAAGCAAAATTTCACATTTCATAGAATCACAGAGTCCCAGACTGGTTTGGGTTGGAAAGGACTTTAAAGCTCATCCTGCTCCAACCCCCTGCCACGGGCAGGGACACCTTCCACTAGAGCAGCTTGCTCCAAGCCCCATCCAACCTGGCCTATATTTCTACATGAAGTATCACAAAATGGCTCTTTACAGCCTTTGTTTTATCTAAAAATGAAATGTCTGAAACAAAAATGAAACCAGAGCATCAGTACAGATCAAACCTCTGCCACTAACAATTTGAGCAGCATGGACAACAGTGCCACAAGCCTTGATTACAAACCTTGACACTATTTAATGGAGTGTGGTAGATGCAGCAAAGCTGTACTGCATGGTGGTTGCAAACACACTCACACTTCCCCACAGAAAGCAGAATGAGTTTTACCAATTCCCTTAACACTAAAATCCACAGTTTAGAAAGTTTTTTTCATTTTAATCATTGTGTTTAGAGCTTGGAAAATAAGGGGGACTGAGGTAACAGGATGGTGTAAGCCTGCCTGTTTCTAAGGGGTTAAGTAACAGGCAGAATGAGTCTGACATCAGATAACATCATAACATCAGATATGTCTTCACAGAGTTATTCACCTGACATTATTTGCCAAGTCACTGCTTCCAAGATGCATAAGGCTCCATGAAATATTACAGCATCTGAGTACAGTCTCATTCAGCAGTCCACAAGATTTAGACCATTAGCTTAGGCAATTTTCCTGACAACCAACCATCTTTTACCATTTAAAAGGTAATTAAAACTTCACAAAAATAACATAAACTGGAACTCAGTCACTGATTACTACCACGCCTCTGGGGCAATACCCTTTATTCTTTTGTTGCTTATTCTGCTTATCGGTATATTTGCAGATTAATAAAAAAAAAATCCATTAACTTACATGAGTGACACAATCTGAGATGCTGCCTTTAGCTTTAGATCCATCACAGCAAAGTATTTTGCCAGGAAAGGTTTCTTAGAGTCATCCAGAACTCTGACAAAAGCTTTAACCGTTTTCCCAATTTCCACCTGAAACACAGTCACATCCAGTCAGTTCTCACTGAAACTGTTCTGATTTATCAGCATCAACATTTTCATTTTATTTTGTATTACACTGTTAGCAGGGTATTAGAGTTCAAGCCCCAAGGTTAGATCAGCACTCATTTTAAAGAGTGATCACTGCCAGCTGCGGTTACCCTCAATGGAAATAAATGAATTCAGGGCTTGCAGCTGGCAAGGGCATCATTAAAACATCCACAAACATCAACACTTGATCTGTGCGAGACCTGCCCAAGCTGGCCAGCGAGTGAGGTGGGCTTGGTAAATTTTAAACCATGACATACGGAGAATGACCTTGGGGCAAAGCCTGCTCCTAAAAAGATTCTCTCATGGACTTAAAACAACAGGAGATGTAGGTGAGCATGTTCAGATAAATTATGAATTAACACTGCTGTGTAAATGCAGAACTGAGATTGCTGCCACACCAAACACGAAGAGACAGCATATACTGACAGACTTACAGCTAAAGGGAGAAATCTGGGAGGGGGATACAGAAACATGGGGAGTTTAATCTACTTCTCTGAGGTCACACTGGTGCAGCAGCGGCCCTATCCACTACACTGTGTCATCTTGTACACGCCTCTTTACATTCATGTTCAGCACAAGGAATCAGGGCAGTCTGGATCAGGCAATAAGGCTGGTTTCAAAGCTGGTTACCTTGTCAACAACTCGGACATACAGCTCCTGGATATCAGAGACATAAATTTCAGCTTTGGCTGGTGCAGGGAAAGCCAAACACAAGTCATGAATCATCACAGTCACCGATCCTGGCAGCAGGGGATGCACCTGCAATGCCAAAAGAAAATCCTATTACAGCACTTCTCATTTTCACTTGTCTGTCATTCATAGGAGATGTACATCACTTTCAGGGCAGACGCAGTTGGATGCAGAAGTCTCCCAGCCTTAGATGCAGCTAAACTTTCCACCAGAGTACAAGTAAAGCTGCTAAATGTATGTAGAAAGTATCATGCTACTGAGCTAGTGTGAACGGCGGCTGGGCAGCAACTGAACTAACAGATCTTAACCTAGCAGCAGCCTGGCATCCTGTTATTATCCTTCTGCTTCTAAAGCACTGGGATTGCTTCCCACACGATTCACAATTTACAGTTACTGCTTTGAATCTATCACCAAATCTGGTGGTAGAACTTCTCAAGTAAGAGGATGACTGACAAATCAGGTATTTCCTTGATACAACTGTTACTATTTTATGATTTTTTTACACAAAGAATGGACACGTTCCACTTCTCTGAATACAAGACTCAAACAGCGAGAAGACTTCTGCTCACAAAGACAGGCCCTCAGAACTCGGCACCAACCCCACAGCCACCTCCATACCCTTGCTCCAGGCCATGCACCCACAACTTGCTCACAGTCTCTCTGCAGTTCTCTTGCTATTTGCCTGACCTTGCCCCACACCTCAGGGACAATCCCAACTATTCTGCTTCCGTTCACAAGTCCCTTCCCTTTGGCCAGGGACAGCGCGGATGTTCAGTGCCCTATTCTATGCTCTCACCCAGCCATGAGGGTGAACTCTGAAACAAGGGGTGATGGACAAGCAGGCCCCTGGTTAAAAGGAATGCAGTATAATTCACAGCATTACTTGGCAGCACTTAGCAGCAAGAGCAGTGGGAAGAGCTGACATTTTGTGCTCTGAGGGCACGCTCTGACTTTCGCCTCAAAATAGAAAAGAATATAAAGTTTTAATAAAAGTCAGCTTCCAGAACAGCAGCAGTTCCCAAAGTGGGTGACTAATACAGGTGCTAGGGGCATATATTAGTACACAGCATGGAAAGCAGAGAAGGGATGTGGCCAGGAGGAGGCAGCCAGCATGACCACAGGGAGGAAGATGTGATGGAGCTGTCTGAGCTGAGAAACCAGAGGAAAGAAGCTAGCAGAAAGGGGAAGCAGGGCTATTGCTCCTGTCCCAGCCACCTCTTCTGTTCTCATCTCCTATTCAGTGTCCAGTAGCTCCCCAGTGTACAGTCTATTGCACTGTCTACCACTAGTCATTCTACCACCCGTATCCAGAAAAGCTCCAGTGCTAAAAAGAGAGTAAGGGGTATAGAATTTATTCACAGCAGCCCCAGTAAGAACTCTGAGAATCGCTGCTCGACAGAGCTTGAATTTAGTTTCTCAGAGTAGTTTACTATCAAACCATCCTGTATCAACTTGACTCCACTGATAACTACCATGGCATCAGCCTGGAACTTGCTGGCTTCCTACAACACGGTTTAGTTGCATCTTCCAGTCGAAAAAAGCATAAAAACACTTAAGAAGATCAGATATAAACTCTTTAATAGATATTTATTCTGAAAATCAGGATGAAATATTGTGATAGCAAAATATCCTGAAATGCCAACAGAAGAAGAATCTGAAGGTTTCAGAAGCACTGTCCTACAATAAATATTCTGATTTTATTCTAGACACCAACTAATCACTTCTAAATAATTCTTCCACATGATTTTTCATTTTGTGTTTATGAAATCAGGAACATTATACTGCAAAACAGGTGAAGAATAGCTTGGTACTGGCTTTATCTTGCACAGAGTATACAATCCCAGACTGGTCTGGGTTGGAAGGGCTCTTAAAAGCTCATCCAGTTCCAAACGCCTGCCATGGGCAGGGACCCCTTCCACTAGAGCAGCTTGCTCCAAGCCCCTGTGTCCAACCTGGCCTTGAACACTGCCAGGGATGGGGCAGCCACAGCTTCTCTGGGCACCCTGTGCCAGCACCTCAGCACCCTCACAGGGAAGAGCTTCTGCCTACGAGCTCATCTCACTGGAGCTGCTCTCAGGTCTCCCCTTAAGGAGCCTTCTCTTCTCCAGGCTAACCCAGCCCAGCTCTCTCAGCCTGGCTCCAGAGCAGAGTTGCTCCAGCTCTCCCAGCATCTATATGGCCTCCTCTGGACCCTCATCACAACTGCAGTGAAACAATTTCCTACACCTGAAATTGCCAGTGCAAAGATCCCCTGCCTGAAGTTTGACTGTGACATTCACCCAAGATTCAGCTATTTCCTCTCTATCCACATGTACTTTTAAAGAACTGATAGTGATGAAATTGCAGCATGATTTTCAGACTGCCAAAAAGATAAAAAGTAACAAAATATTTCACTCACCAAAGCAATACCTTGAGTTTCTTCATGAGTCACTCTTACAATGTTTGGAACACTAGTATTAATGAAAAAATACCCAGAACCTTCTTTGATGAAAAGTTCTGCCTGCAAAACCAGAAAAGCATCCAAAATTAGACTGTAGCTTTTTATTACATTGCTAAAACTGGCATCCTTACACATATCATACAATATTTTGATCTTTTTCTCCCTGCATTTAGAAAGCACCAGAATAATTCCTTACCTGTATGTCAGCGTGATTGTAAATGGAGACATCAGTAGGGCTTACTTTTACATCCTCAACTAGCATTAGTTCAATAGTGGCAGAAATTGGTAGAAGAGGTTCATTCTGAAAGAAACGATTCTCGCTATTACAGCAAACACTGGGAGTCAGAAAACAGGGCAAGTCTCTTGCATATGCAGGGAAGGGTGCTGAAAGCAGACGAGCAGAGAGCCAGAGCTGGAGAAATTTATGCTAATAAAACATCCACAAGATCTAGTAATCAGCTCAGTTGCTAGAGGTAAGGTCATACACAGCACACACTGTCGTACTCTGCAGCTCTGACCAAGACAAAGGCCAGTGCCTTAAAGATGCAGCAGGATCAGTTTATCAAGTCTGACACAACAGACAGGGTATGAACCCAGAGACATGCTGTGGGTTCATACAAAAATGATACAGTGAAGAGACAGAATGTTTTCTTCTACTTCATGTTCATCTCCTTCAGATTCTTCCTAGCAGGCCACCAAAAGAAATTCTTCCTTAAGTGTAAGTAAATAAACATTGGACCAGATGCAAGTTTAATCATTCACTCATAACAACATTAACTTAGAAAGGGAAAATGTTTTTGCAGAGGAAGTTAGTATTATGTACCCATTTCACCTAATTAGTAGAAATACTTCCTTGATGTAGAAAGCTTGTCGTCTTTCCCTAATGACATAATAGGATGCTCCACATAAACATGGAACAATGACCAAGGCATCTTAGTATACCATCTATTAGATTTTCCTGCCTCTTACAGACAGAAATGGAGATAAGTATGGACAGGTTTGAAAGCAGAATACAGCAGTCCCGTTCCAGTGCTTTGGAAACAAGCAAGTGATCTCATTTAAATGAGAAAAAACACATGAACCTATGTAACTGTAGCAGAAGTGGTACTTACAACTATTCTTCAACTATTAAACAGATTCCTCCTGAACTTAAACACAGAGACTAGAATTTAAGAGAACACTGGTGCCAGTTCACATGTATGTATCCCACTCTGAAATACAATAAACTTCTCTGAACGAGAGGCAAAGTTTAGAGAATTCACTTTTCTAATTATCTCTAAATGTAAGAAAGAACAGTGACTATCAGTTTCATAAAGCATTGCACAGTGAATTACAAAATGATGCATAGGTTCATAGAACAGTTAGGGGTGGAAGGGACCTTCAAAGCTCACCTAGTCCAACCTCACTGCAATGAGCAGGAACATCTTCAACTAGAGCAGGTTGCTCAGAACTTGATCTAGTTCATTGCAGAACCTCTCTCAAGAGAAAAAAGATACAGAGCCAAGCATCTCTGGTGGCAAGAAAACTGCGTCCTTGATTTTGACTAAGTCAAATTATTCAGTGGAAATGCACCTACAACGTGCTTCCCAACAAGAACAGACTGGAAACCTCACTGACAAGACAAGAACCAACTGGCAATACAGATCATCTTCCAAAGACATTGGCCATCCAGACATACTGACCATACCAAATTCAGACAGACTGACAGAAATCTAGGGCATGGGGTATTTTCCATTACTAGTGCCCATGTGCTACCTGCCTGGAGTTAATAATACTGTAACCTCTAGCTCCATATTTTACTCTTTGTCTCAACTCTATTTTCATGGCACATCATTTAGAACCACATATAGTCAAAACCCACTTAAATCCTGCCTAACCAAATTAAACAGAGCTTCAGTGTAGTGTAGCAGGATAGGTGAAGAGCTAGTTACTTTGCAACTCAGGCTGTTCCATAGGCTGAAACATGCCTTTATATTCAATTAGATAAAGTGAACCAAACAAAAAATTGCCATCTGTTTACATCTGCCTTCTTTCTCATCATCACTACTTGCTGTTCTTCCCTATGCTGAGTACCTACAAACTCAAGTATTCCGGGGAGTGGCTAATGACTTGTAGTAGAGCTGGCACTATACAAATCAGTCGTGTCTCCCTTCTGTAAGATCAACATGAGACCAAGTTAAAAAAAAGAGTATTAGTCAGAACCCAGATTCTACTCATGGTCCATCAGGATATCAGCCAGCTTTTGCTTTGATCATGCAGAACCTTTCTACCCAGTTTTGCACTGAAAATAATACATTCACCTTCCCCAGTGACAGCTGCACTAAGCACATGTCTGCTTTAGCAAAGGACAAGCAGCAGAGATTCACCACTCTGTTAAAAAAACTAAATGGAAACAAACCCAACTGAAACAATTCTTTGTAATCCCCTTGCCCAGTTGGTTTAACACGAAAATGAAAAAAAAAAAAGGAATTTAATGTATTTGATACAGATAGCAGTACATAGCACAGAGGAGAGCAGGAACACCACAGAAACATTGTAGCATGGATCTGTCTTCAGAATCAGCTATGGAGCTGCCTTATTTTTATATTATTATGCACTGAAGAAATAAATCCATCAGGACACCCTGCACTAAGCATCAGCGAAAAATGTCAATAGCAAAGAGAGTTATGGGTACCTGTGTTTTGACTTTCGCTGCCTGGAGATGGGACTGCTGGTATTCTGATGCAGCTGCAGAGATGGTGGCTGTTCCAGACTCATGATGAACCGCAACAGTTTGTAAGCCTAGAATCAAACAAAAAGTCAAAGAAATCTGATTATGGAGAAGAAAAAGGTGAAATGTACACTCTTAATCTCTTCCATTATCGTTGTACACAAAGACATTCTCTCTGAAGGAAGGTTCTAGCCATTGGGCTCAGCTCGTTCTCCCTGACTCCCCTTCTTCTTTTTCCCCTGAAGAGCGCACTCTTTAAACACATGTTGAGGATAAGATGAAATATGACAGCAGATTACATTAATTTCTTTGATCAAGCTCAGACATTACCAAATAGATTTAATCCTGACCTTCTTCACATCAAGAAATGCTTGTGTTTAAACTAATTCATACCATGCATTCTCTTTTGACCACTTCCATCTTCTTTCAGAGTCAGCTCCATTGGCATATCAGGCTCAATATTAGCTAAGGACGGTTTTGATGATTCCCAGGTAACACTGAGAGAACTGAAGTTATCAAATCTACTGCCCTGTTGGTCATATGCAGCCAAATCCAAAACTGGATGGCGGTGATTTGAAACAGGAACCTGAAAAAGAATGAATACTTTGAACTGAACAGATACAAGAGGATACTGTAATAGTTAAAAGAAAAAAGCATGCCAAGTTCCATGAGATCTATTGTAACATTCATTACATGAGTAATGGTCTTTAAAATGAGCCATAAATGCAAAGTCATTAAGCTGTACTTCAACTGCAAGGGTTTTTTTTGGGGTGGGAATTTCTTTAGCCAGTGAATTACCTTAGAACAAAAATGGAAGCACTCAGTTTAATTATGCTGTCTTTGGACTTCTAACAAATGCTGAAAACCGCCACTATTTGTCAGAAGACACAGCTCAAAATTCCAGTGTTCACCTCATGAAATCCATTAGCAACAGCCACGTACTGATGTGGTCTAACTGACACACAACAGAACTAGAGAAACAGGTGAGCTCTGAAATGACTTACAATGCGCAAAATCTCCTCCTCATCTTGTCATTACACAGAAGTTACTTAAATGATTCACCAACGATTCACCACATTGCAGTTTTATGGAAGTAGGATGGCTTTTAGATTTGCTTGGTAATATTAACATGACAGAACACACAGTTTTACTCATCAGCCAATATGTGACAGCACTCATCAGGGTACAGAAGAAAGTTCTTTCTGCTTGACAATTTACACATATGCATCATCCATTTATTATGACTCAGACTTGCAAAGCTGAATACATTTGATGTCATGGAACAACACTCACTGCACAGGCTTACACAGGTATCTTCACATCACAGCAGCGTTTGTGCCTTTACTAATCACACACACAAATGTACATTCGTGTAACAATACATATGATAAAATATGTCTGTACTCAGTAGAAAGTTACAATCAGAATGGAGTGGTACAGAGAAAAGTACTTTCTATAGAAGCAGAAGCTTCTCTTGAGATAAATTTTTCATTAAGCAGGGCTTCCTCACAGTGCCACTTCTGTAGGAAGCCACCATCCAAATGCTTTCACATATGCTCCTGTGTTTTGGTAGGTTCCTTCATAAACCTGATTGAATGATCACTGTAGAAGCCCTGATTTGGCCTGCTCTCTATTAAAGCACACAGCCCACAATACTAGTTACTCCTACTTTTTCAGCAATCAGATGTCTATTCTGCATGGAGAGGTCCAAACGCTGCTTTTTTAAATTACAAGAAGACACTCTTCTCCTGTCGCTTATCAGGCTTACCACTTGCTTGTTTTGTTGCAGCAAGGGGCAGGAGAGATCAAGCTGAGGACTTGTATAAACAGGAGTCAAAGTGAGTCGGGAAGGGACAGCACAGATGAACTTCACTGCAGCAGACCCAACCGCTGGAAAAGGGTTGGTGACTGTGGGGTTGTTTCCAACCTTTAAGACAATGACCTGTACAAGTATGAAAACAGGCAAGTGAGTAAGGAGAAAAGACTACAGAGTTCAGGCATGTTCCGTTTCATTGATCTCAGAATGAGCAAGTAAAATTATGACTCTTGGAAATTTACAGCACCATTAGGACATGGGAAGATGTAAATGGAGGTGTGTATTTCAAGAACAGTACTATACCATTACCAAAGTACTAGTCCTGGGAACTTTTCCTAGGTATTCACGTTTAAATGAAGTTTGATAGTAATAAACAACAAATGTTTAGTAATTTAAAAAGCTAACAGGCAGGTGTTTTTCTCACAGAGTGAGAATACAACAGCCCAAAGACAACATTTATAGTCACCTCAGGGGGTTTAAAAACATCTTCTGTTTAATTTACATTCCTTTTTCAGCCTTCAGCAAAACAAAGTGGCTAACAGCACAGAGAAGCCCATCCCAGCAGGCTGAAGTAGCTCCTTTACTTGCCTTACTCACTCATACACTGGTACCAGCCAAAGCCACACCCTTAGGATTTGCACTTACAGAAGTAGCTATGTTTTGCACAGTGCCCACTAAGGAAATCAGTTAAGCAATTTGGCAGCTACACCAAAACTCTTGGGCCTTGCAGAATTACAGGAGAAAAACATTAAAGCAAAGCAAAATGCTTTATAGACCGGCCAGGGTGAGTAAAGCAGGATAAATCACTTCTGCATGTCAGAGAAAACAAGACCAGGTAGAAAATGACTACAGCCATTATTAGAACGACTGCACAAATATCAGAACAGTAAATTCATTTAGCTGTCATTTGTCTGAATAAACAGAATTACACTGGAAGGTAACTTGGTTAAGAGGAGCAGGGCAGGCAGTAGTCAGTTTACTGCAGAAACCTTCTGCTATCATCCTATTTATGCAAACTGAAGCTGCACTTATTAGGATGTTTAATGCATTCTACAACATAAGGTTTCTGTGACTTGGCTTTATATTGCAATAAACCCATCATAAACCACTTTATAACATAATGTTATGAAATGCTCATTCTAAAACCTGCATAAACAATGTACTTAACCAAGTTCTTCACTGCCTTACAATAAGAACTACTTGTTACATAAAAGGTATATGGTATCATAAATCTGTCTGAAGCCTGTTCCCAATTGCCTCAGCTTGGTGCTTGATGGAAGGCAATACAGATACCTTCTGGCACTTACTTGCTCCCCGAGGCTTTTGCAAGACACTCTAACCCAATGCTGGATGTTATTTTGAGACTTAGGAGGTCCAAATAAAGACAGACCAACACTTTCTTCATCTTCAGCGGTGACATTCCTGAAGAACTTTGAAGGTTCTTGTACCCATGGTCTAGGTCCTCCTTCAAATAACATATCTTTAGAGGAACCCAAAGTCACTAAAGCAACAGTCAGAGGATCAATGGCCTGTAATGAATGAATTAATTACAAATTAATGATTCTATTTACATACAGCTTGGTTGTACTTTGCAAAAGAAACTTCCTTCCTAATGGAAGAGCTACGTTACTCTCAGTAGGCTACCAGTTTTCCCACACTGCGCTTTGCAAGCATGGATATTCAAGAACAGCTGTACCAAAATAACCAGCATCACCTACAGGAATTCTGCTCAGCTGAGTTACATTCAATGGAACCTGCAGATCCAGGGGAAAGTTTTACCTACATTCTAATCCCAACCTTTTCATGAAGAACTACAGCAAGAGGAAGACCTTTAATCTACTCTTCTGAGCACACTTGGATAGTATTCTACTACATTTTTTATGTATACAGTACTTCAAATGAACAAAATAATGACAAGTTTTATTTTCACTTGACAGTGCCCTCTCTGGCAGTTCTGTCCATGTAATTACTCTCCTGCACAAGTTTTACTTCAAACCTCTACAACAAATTCTACATTGATGTGTATCACCAGGACAGACGGTGCTGTTTATCATCACAGAAATTAACTTGACAGTTTAATACACCATAACCATTTGTAGCTTGTGTTCCACATCATTACATTACTTAGGTGTTTAGTAAGAAGGAAACAGCAGCTAAAATACAGGATGGTTCAAATTTTTCCCTAGGTGCATTTTGGTAGAGAGAAGGAAAGGGCTGGCATAAATCACTCCATCCACCCATTTACTACCTGGTTCTATCTGTAATATAAAGATAAAAACTATGAGATTTAGTCTCAAGAGTCTGCCTGCCCTTTCACTCCTGCTCATCTTTCTCCCACTTGTTATGTTGTACTATTACGGTTTTAACTAGCTCTCCGATGGAAAGATGCTGCCTTCCATTCCTGGGCATCACAACATTTCATTCTACAGAAAGGAGGGAAAAGATTATTTTATTTTTCTTTCAAAGTACACTTATTCTCCCCCCCATGTCGCCATGTCCTGGCTCTGTCAAGCACCCCAGAATTATTTCACTTTATAGCTGGCAAGCAGTGTTACAACACCTCAAGGGGCTTTGCTAATAAATGTGAATGATACCCTATCTATGAAAAATTCCAAATTAAGAGGACTATGCCTCTCACATTGCTGCCAATAATAGACAGCTTAGGATGTCTCAGCATCTTCAAATAATTACATTCAGCTATATAAAATATTTAATAGAAAAGCATATTTAAAAAGCAAAATCATCTTTATAGTCATGAATTTGTATGATTTGCACAAACTTTTGTCCCAGATGTGGGGGAGAAGTTATGGCCAAATGTTTTAGAGTTTAGCTTTGCAAATTCAGTGCTAGGTCTCTGAAGATGAGAGTAACACAAGCAAATTGTCTCATATTTCCATATGGTCACCCTGTACTCAAGGTTGGTTCTTCCTGTTTTCTTTAGTTTTCTTTTACTTTCCCCATTCGTACTTTCACAGCCATACAGGCAAGCCAACTTTGCCTTCATGCAAAAGAATTAGGTTTATACTATGAAAGCAGAAATCATAAACCAGGCCTGCTTCCTTTTGACATTATGGACACAGAATTGTGACTGCCATCTTACTAAGCCAATTGTTAATCAGTTCAAATGGACAGTCAACAAACGAATTATTTGAGTCTCACATAATTTTCCCTCACCTAGAGTCTGCTGAAAAGCAATTTAGTAATTCAGATGTGCTGTGCGGAACAGGATTCACATCCTCACTCAGATGAGGTTGACTCCTATTGCTACCCTACTGCTACCCTGCACGTTTCTTCACATGATGGCGACTGTGACTCTTCTCATTCATTTTCCACTTCCTTTGCCACTTCAGAGGAAACTGAGTTTTCTATCACACAACTGGCTCCTCTACAGCTGGGGCCTGCAGAGTCCATGCAGTCAAACTCTATATGCTTCACTGAGAAAGGGTTAAAACACAATTCCTCAAAACAGTCCACAAAATGTTTCCCACCTCAGTTTTTAAACACACTCATTACATAATACCAACTTGCTACTTGTCATTTAAAAGCATTTTAAGTGATGGATTGCTTTAGAAACAGTGAAACCAGACTTACTTTTAATGGTAGATAAGCAGCAATGGTGATGCTGGCACTGAGGTGGACGTGACCATGGGCGTAGCTGACCGTAAGTGTTGTATATCCTCGAGTTTCAGCTTTCACTCTGACTCCACTACAAAAATCAGCAGTTGGCTGAAGCCTTCCTGTCAGATAAATTAAAAATACATCAACACATATTTGGATAGAAATGCCCAAGTATTTTAATGCAAGTCCAAGGTGGCTTCTCTCAACAAAAGTGTTTCCACCAGAAGTCAGCAGAGATCTGTTCTCCAACTAGACAGGTAAAAATGTTCACTACTGTCTTTCATCTCAAACCCAACACTTACCAAAGTATCCACATCTTACAAACTTCTTTATATTCATACTGGCCTAAACAAGACATGAGCTTTCACTGTGGTACAAGCCAATACAACTTCTATCTCTTACTGAATTTTTCCATCTTGCTGTTTTAAAGTGAAACTGGCTTGTAATGAAGCACAAATAAGCCACGCTGCTTAGACAAGCTTTCTTGCACGGAACAGCTTGAACTGTAGGCAACAGGTCATTTCTCCAGCTGAAAGTACTTTTATGAAATTCCTCTGCTTACTTAAAAGGCCATTTCAGGGGTTTGGGAGGGGTCTGTTCTTTCTGTTTTCAAAATAAACAGTATGACAGCACACTACACAGTGACATTTCCAATAGCTGCCTCTCAGGCAAACAGATGGTCCAATGCAGATCGGTTTTACTGGCTCAACAGCACAGGAAAGAGCTTCCATACAAGAGACACTTGGAAAAAAAATCATGGTACATCTGAGTAACACACTGAATCCAGCAGACACAGGAACAAGCACGTTGCTCAGTGTCTACTTAGCCCAGCAGCATTAATGGCAGTCTTTAAATATCACATGCACACTCCACACTCCTAATAAGCCTGACAAGAGACAGTTCTTAAAGCAATGAGCTGAACAATAGCAGAGCTTTGGCAAAATTTAAGCAGCTGACTGTCTTAGTTTCTTGTGAGCAAGGAATGCACAGTGTCTTTCTAGCACTGAAAGTACTGCTGGACAATTTGGGCAAAGCAGTTATTAATCTTACTGTTCTTGTAGGTCTTCCAGCGCTACCTCAAAACACAATATACATGGACCCCTCATGAGAAAAGCCATCAGCCCTATTACAGAGGCACGTTAAAAATACTAAACCAGTAGAAAGATGTATCGGAAACTACACATTATCCAACAAAATAATCGCCAAAATGCTTTCAGAGTCCCCCAAAACGTCAAAAATATCCAAGGAAAGTTCTGCATAAAAAAGTAAATACACCTTTGAAAGAAAACTACTGATTTGCACCTCTGCAGGTAAGCTCCTCTGTGGGAACGCTGTACACAGCAATTGAAACAGGGATTCAAAGGAGGTGTGTGACTTCGTAACATGTTACTTTAACTTTCCAGACAAGGAGGGGGTGAGCTCACCTTGAAGTGGCCTGAACACACCACGGTTTTCTACTTCCACAGCTAGATCGAAGTGTGAGCAGTCGCTCAGTGGGACTATCTCACCCTTTTCAATATCCGTCAGGCCACTGATCTTCAGGGGCAGCTCCAGTATTTGGCCAACATATACTTCAACTTGACAGGGTGTGAACTCCATCCCAGTAGGTTCAGTTACGTACACCTGAAGGAAGAAAGAAGCACAGAACAGATGTATGAACACAACCCCACAAAAAGGTATCAGGGAAAAAGAGACTTCTTCATGCTCTCCTTATTTCAATTATCCCTACTTCTACCAGCTGCTGACATCCCTGTGATGGCTGAAAACAATCCTGCTCAGATTCAGATGCAGGAAGATCTCAGAAAGGGCCAGGAAAAGCTTGCTGCTATTTCAGTGCTCTTTTCCCACAGCAGTCCAAGTTCACATTAGCTTGGTGATCCTTTTACTGCTACTTCTATAATTCTCTCTTCTGTTTGTTGAAGTATGGACTAAGTTGTGTGGTATCTCAGGAGGCAGTGTAACCAACTGGGACAGATCTAGTATCCAACTTGGAATTCCACACCCTGTTTGGGCTAGACCTGAGGGAGTCAGCAAGGGTCTCAGCCCCACCACTCACAGCAGCAGGTCTGCAGAGGTTACTGGAACTCATGATTTGAATTTCACAGAATCCTGGTTTCAGCTGGAAAGGACCTTACAGCTCATCCAGCTCCAGCCTCTGCCACGGCCAGGGACACCTTCCACTAGAGCATTTCCTCAACGGCTTTTCTTTTTTTTCCTTTCTCTTCCTTACATTTCTGTTGCAAAACATGGGTAAAGGTGCCCAGGGATCCACGGTCCCCACAGTAATACAGCAGAAATCTAGAGTAAGTGAACAAGTATCTACTGCCTTATCTAACAGCCTTCTGCTTGAACAAGTAACCTTTATGTGAGACATACCACTGAAACCAAAAGGATTACTTTCAGAAATAAGACCAGGAGAAATAGATCTTCCATGCTGATATAGCTGATATGTTGAACAAGCCTTCAATATATTATCTGTATTCCAATTTGCTGCTTTTTCCACTAATAATAAAGAATCCACCACAGCCTAACTGCGTATTTCGTAACAATGACGACCAAAGATTTTCATTTGCAATATCTTAACTTCCTAACCATCTGCAAATAGCTTCAGGATAGACTACTGAACCATATGGTACAGAGTTAAATCTGTAATCCTTGTGCAACATAGTTAACTATTCCAAAGACTTGCTCACTGAGGTCAGTAAATGTGGAGTTACTTGACAAAGAATGCAATTCCTAACATGAGCACAAAGGCATTCAAAAATAACCTATTCAGATTGTGCAATACACTGCTCTGAAAGCTCACATGGAGAGAAGCCTTTTTTCTGTCTTCAGGCTTTGACTTCTGTTTGAGGATAAGAAGTTTTCACTGAAAAATCTTCATTCCTGGTAGCTGGCAACTGTCAGGCTGTTAAAAAGCAGCATCCTGGGCTGTCCAGAGAATAATTCCAGAGCAAGCCTGTGAACTAAATTCCACATAAGCTTTAATTTGTCTCATTATTTTAAATGTTTGTTATTTTAAGCATGCAGTTTAGTACCCCTCAAATCCAGTTGGTAGAAGTGACAAATAATCTGAGAACAAAACCTAAGCTAATTTGCCCCTCAAAAGCCCCAGCATTAGTAGATACAGCTGTTTCAAGTAAAATTTGGTTAGAAATATCCTTCCCAAAACATAATTACTTAAAAATCACGGAGATACCTGCTTCCATCGCACACTCTTCATTATGGGACAGACTTGGCAGTCTTGACCAAACACATTTTTCAACACTCTTGTCAAAAGGGACTTTGGTGCAACAGCAGTGCAGTACAACAACAACAGCAGCGCTGCACATGGGAATGCTTGGAGATGAGGAGGTATTTTGTATAGCCAAAGCGTGCATGTTTGATGGAATCTGCTTTTTTCCCACCAGCTACTAAATTACTGGCACATATCCTGGAAGGAAGGTGAACTGCCCAGGGTTTGCAAGACACGCTTCCTAAATCAACTTCTCTGCCCCCTCAGGAACAACGAGCATCACCTTTCTAAACCCTCAGCCAGAGGGAGGTTGTCTGCCAGCCCCAACAGCATCCGCTTGGCATAAACACACCAATTTCATTTATGACCATGCCGTCAGACACGCACAGGCTCCCAGGTGAGTAACACCTGATACTGCCAGCTTCCAGGTGAGTAACACTTGCTCAGGACACCATTGCTTGGTTTTGCTGAGGTCAGGAGCGAGTTTCCTCTCACTGTGAGGGTGCTGAGGTGCTGGCACAGGGTGTCCAGAGAAGCTGTGGCTGCCCCATCCCTGGCAGTGTTCAAGGCCAGGTTGGACACAGGGGCTTGGAGCAACCTGCTCTAGCGGAAGGTGTCCCTGCCCGTTCCAGGGGGTTGGAACTGGGTGAGCTTTAAGGGCTTTTTGAACCCAAACCATTCTGGGATTCTACAATTCTCTGTCGGGTTTCCATTCCAATGTTTAGGGTCTTTGCAAAAGGCACAGAGTTAGAGCACAGATTAAAATGCCTCAGTTTGTGAAGGTAGCAGAGTACTGCAACTTCACAGTAGTGAACACAGATCACAGTAGTACTTCTTTTTAGTTTCTATTCTATGACATTAGAGGTCTGGCAGTTTTTAACAGCTTGACAGAGCTGTCAGTAAGCACTGACACAGTTTCATTAGGGATAAATATTTGTGTTCAAAGGACACAACAAGGTATTTCCAAATCAATAAGGTTCTAGAGAAAACTATGTAAAAGAGTAAATTTAGTGTCTTAACCAGTGCAGCTTCTTCACCTGCCTTTGCACACACTTCCTTGTGTGGCCATTACATACACTGTTTCTGTATTTTCTTCATTCCATACCACATACTGATCACCCTGACCAGTCCAGAAGAACAGGGTATGACTTGCATAGAGACCAAAAAATCCCTCCTGGTAGATGTGTTTTCCATTCCCATTTTCTCCTATTTTCCTTAAAACATTCCTTTTTTCTTGGCCAGCTTTGGCAGCTAGAATCATTATGTGGCACTGTTTCCATTTCAGCCACTTCTCCAGGCAGGAACTCTCTTGCACATCTTGATAGTATCTGTCATCCTTTTATATTGAGGGAAAACACCCACCTCTTACCATGCAGAATACACTGTTAGTTTTGGCCAGGCCAGTAGTAAATTACTATTTCCTTCTGGCACTCAGTTTTCAACAAGAAAAAAGACTCATCAAGGAAATCAGCATGGGGCAAAACTGGGAGTAAAGTTAGTGCAGTGGAGAGAGCCTGAATCCCTGAGGCACAACCTCTGAAACTGATGACCAAACCTGCCATAGGCAGAAAGGGAAACCTCTCAGGAACATTCTGGAAAGGGGAATGCCTATGGCATGGTCAGCTTCTTCACTGTTTCCAAAAGCCATGTTCAAGAGTGGCCAGGGAAAAGAAGAATTTTACCCTCATTTCTCCATGATGTATCGAATTCTGAAGATCAGTTGCCCGAATAACACTGATGCCAAGATCACTTCCAGTTGTCATTACTCCTTTGGCACTCACTGTAGCAACGGCCTGGTTAGAATAGGTCCAGCTGAAATTTCCACTTCCACCATGAGCCTAGAACACAGAGAGAAATCTTTCAAGTATTTTATGAAATACATGGTTCTCACATTCCTTAGCTGTCAAGACTTTATCTCACATGAACATCAGGGACATACTGAGCAACAATAATGCTGCTACTGAGGAAGTACAAACAAAAGAACACCTCAGAACTTTCAAATGAGCAAGGTGAACTAAGAGATGAGGGGATTATTACCCTTCATTCAGTTTAATTTCAGCTTTCTTCACGCACATATCCTCCATGCTCACCAGTGCTGCTAACCCAAATATCTCTCTCCCACCTGAAGAAGTCCGAAGCTCACAACTCCCTGTGATTGACAGTGCTCTGAGTCAGCGGAGCATTTCCCACATCAGCACACTAGAGGCCTGGCACATGTGGTTATCATACTGCTGGAAACTCCCACTGTTCCCTGTTTCTGACAGCCGAAGTGCTCACCTGGGGGCTCAGAGCTGCTAAGCTGACACTCTGTACCTACTCACCTCTTTCAATGGGGACTGTTACGGGGTATAAAGGGAGGAGAAAAGAAGGTGGGAGTCAGGGGAAGGAATGAGGCAAGAGGAGGGAAGAAAAAGAAGTCATTCTCTTCTTGGCTTTGCATCTTTTTGCTGAAAATCAGCATCTCTACTTGCAGCTATTCAAAGACCATCCCGCTCCAGCAATGATCAGCCATGGAATGAGCAATAGGCATGTACAGAAATTGCCAACTCTTGCTGTAAGCACTGCAAGGGTCTGCAACACAGGCTACACTTCCACATCAGCTTGGCAAGGAAGGACTCAGTAACTGCCAGACTTAGGAGCTCAGGATTATTATGCAGATTCCCATAACGAAACCCCAAAACAACAAGAAAGCAAGCCCCATCCTCTCCCTAGAGCTCCCAGCACCTGAAGAGCTGTTTCATGATTACAAGAGCTTAAGTGAGTGTAATTATTCTACAAAAGGGTAAAAACTAGTTACTTGATCTTAAGGTCCACATCAATAGAGACAAATTATAATACCCACTGTATGAGCACCCAGCAGTTAGGATGGGATAATATCTGTTGCAGGTTCACATTTTATGAAGTGAAGGGCAAAAAACCCATTTTGCCCACACAAGCAGAGTATTGTCTTCCTCAATGTGCAATACTAGTGACTGAAGAATCTGGCTGAAGGAGAGAAGCCAGAGAGTTGTAGTCTATGGGGCCGAGTCTAGTTGGAGGCCTGTAACTAGTGGAGTGCCTCAAGGGTCAGTACTGGGACCGGTATTATTTAATATATTCATCAACGATTTAGATGAGGGAATTGAGTGTACTATCAGCAAGTTTGCTGATGACACTAAGCTGGGAGGAGTGGCTGACACGCCAGAAGGCTGTGCTGCCATCCAGCGAGACCTGGACAGGCTGGAGAGTTGGGCAGGGAATAACTTGATGAAATATAACAAGGGAAAGTGTAGAGTCCTGCATCTGGGCAGGAACAACCCCAGGTTCCAGTATAGGTTGGGGAACGACCTGTTAGAGAGCAGTGTAGGGGAGAGGGACCTGGGAGTCCTAGTGGACAACAGGTTGACCATGAGCCAGCACTGTGCCCTTGTGGCTAAGAAGGCCAATGGCATCCTGGGGTGTATTAGAAGGGCGGTGGTTAGTAGGTCGAGAGAGGTCCTCCTTCCCCTCTACTCTGCCCTGGTGAGACCCCATCTGGAATATTGTGTCCAGTTCTGGGCCCCGCAGTTCAAGAAGGACAGGGAGCTGCTGGAGAGAGTCCAGCGCAGGGCAACGAAGATGATTAAGGGAGTGGAGCATCTCCCTTATGAGGAAAGACTGAGGGAGCTGGGTCTCTATAGTTTGGAGAAGAGGAGACTGAGGGGTGACCTTATCAGTGTCTATAAATATATAAAGGGGGAGTGTCACGAGGACGGAGCCAGGCTCTACTCAGTGGCAAACAATGATAGGACAAGGGGTAATGGGTACAAACTGGAACACAAGAGGTTCCACTTAAACTTGAGAAGAAACTTCTTCTCAGTGAGGGTGACGGAACACTGGAACAGGCTGCCCAGGGAGGTTGTGGAGTCTCCTCCCCTGGAGACATTCAAAACCCGCCTGGACACATTCCTGTGTAACATTATCTAGGTGTTCCTGCTCCGGCAGGGGGATTGGACTAGATGATCTTTCGAGGTCCCTTCCAATCTCTAACATACTGTGATACTGTGTGTGATAATCATTGCAATGCTGCAAAATGTAGAGGTTTTAAACATCATTATTGTGAGCTATAGGAAGTGTCTATTGAGACAAATATGGTGCAGAGCTGTATACTGAGAATAATGAATTTTTACAGCAAGTTTAAAGAATTTAGGCTTTCACACCCCAAAACAGATTTAAAAGTTCCAACAGAGTAAAACCAGGGTGAACATGGGAGCAATTTTATGTTTACAGGTATTATTTTAACTTTTTCAGTATGTGCTCTAACCATTTCATAATTAAACTGAACAAGATGACAAATCTTGTCCAAAAGTACAGTGTGGAGAATAAATCTAAATTATGCAGGAATTCAGCAAATAACTTTTACCTGGGGAGGAGAGGAGGGACATATCAGAAGGACAGTCCTTTCCCTTTCTCCTTCCCATAAGCATGTGCACAGCCTGAGCACAGAACGAGCAGAGGATACAGTGGATAAAGAGGCAATTGTGTGTGACAGAAGGAGACGAATCAGATGAGGTGAGAAATGTTTAAGGAATGTAAAAGTTCAGAGTGTTTTGTAAAGATATTTTCAATTAAAACAGGGAAATGAGCAGAAAACTGCAACTAGAAATATCCAACTACTAATAATTCTATGGAGTCGCATCTCGTTGCCACACAAAGCAGAGACATTCATTACTACATTTTTCTCTCCAGCACTCACTTTGTACTGTGGAGAGAAAGGGTAAACCAGCTTCTATTCAGTCTAATCATTACCCAAAGTATCCAAAGCCTGTTAGCTGAACTCCACTCCACAAACTGCTACCAGTGACAGTGATGCCCTCACTAGGAAAAAATAACCTCCACATAGAATCATAGAATAGTTAGGGTTGGAAAGGACCTTAAGATCATCCGATTCCAACCCCTCTGCCATGGGCAGGGACACCTCACACTAAACCATATCACCCAAGGCTCTGTCCAACCTGACCTTGAACACCACCAGGGATGGAGCATTCACAACCTCCCTGGGCAACCCATTCCAGTGCCTCACCACCCTAACAGGAAAGAATTTCCTTCTTATATCCAATCTAAACTTCCCCTGTTTCAGTTTTAACCCGTTACCCCTTGTCCTGTCACTACAGTCTCTAATGAAGAGTCCCTCCCCAGCATCCCTGTAGGCCCCCTTCAGATACTGGAAGGCTGCTATGAGGTCTCCACACAGCCTTCTCTTCTCCAGGCTGAACAGCCCCAACTTCCTCAGCCTGTCTTCATATGGGAGGTGCTCCAGTCCCTGATCATCCTCATGGCCTCCTCTGGACTTGTTCCAACAGTTCCATGTCCTTTTTATGTTGAGGACACCAGAACTGCACACAATGCTCCAGGTGAGGTCTCACAAGAGCAGAGCAGAGGGGCAGGATCACCTCCTTCGACCTGCTGGTCACGCTCCTTTTGATGCAGCCCAGGATACAGTTGCTTTCTGGGCTGCGAGCGCACACTGAAGCCGGCTCATGTTCATTTTCTCATCGACCAACACCCCCAAGTCTTTCTCTCCACAAGGCTGCTCTGAATTTCTTCTCTAATCCTTAACTTCTCAAAGACGACACTTCTCTAATGCAGGGAAGGAAGGAAGGCAGGAAGGAAATGTCCTTTTTTACTTGCAACAGAAGCCATCCTATTAGCACAAATATGGACAAAGCACCCAGAAAAAAAAAAAAAACCCAAAAAACAGCTGACAAAGTAAAACCTGAAAGTCATTCTGACACCATCTGGAAGGAGTTACTTTAGCTATAAACAGAATTTGGCTAGATCCAAAAATCTCCTTCAACTTGTTTTCAGAAAAAAAGTCTATTCACCAATTTAAAATAGCCTGACTCAAGAGCTGCCAAGTAGGAGGCACACAGCAGCCTACCAGCAGGAACACCAGTCAGGCTGTGTGCTATTGTAAACAAGCACTACTGCTGTTGAACCAGCAGAGTGGAAAAATGTTCTCAGCTTCAGTAAACACAAACTAATCTAAATGTTGGGGTAAAAAAATGCATGTTTTTAATGAAAAACATCACAGTAAAGTAAGAATCCTGAAGAATTTATTGGTGTAACACGAAGGAATGTTCTCTAGCGAGACATGATATATGCAAGATAAGGTGAGACAGGAAAACACATTTACCTTCCCTTAAAACTCGAGCAGCAGTTAGGAAATGTGGTTTTGTACTTAGAATTTTTACCACACTCTGCTGGTGTGGTTGGGTATAGCATGAACTGAATGAAACTCTCATCCCACAGAAATTAAAGGTACAGATGACAGCGCTGAACTCACCAGTGATACCTCCAAATTTACACTAGAGAATGCAACTTTAGCCTTATGAGATTCACTTCACTTTACTTCAGACACCAGGTATCCCACTGCCTCTTTTGTATCCTGTTTACTTGAAGACAGACCCAAAACTCAGCAATACTTTGTGCTAAAAGGGAGAGGTGAGGACTGTACATGAAAACAGTTAAGTGCAGGGTCTGGGTATCATTGTACTGGGATAAAAGTCTGGGCTGTGAAGCACAATGTCCTTTTGTCCAGCCAGACTATACTCGGGAAGCATATGGAACAACTGGCACCATGGGAGCAAAGACACACATAAGAAATGTGAGACAAAAGCCTAAAAAAGTTCTGAAGAAGGGCACACTGTAAATGAAGCTGTGACCTCTGCCTCCTAAGTTTTCATTAGAAGCATAATATGTGTGCAAGTGAAGGATACTGATACCACAGGTTGAAAGGGAGCTGATCTTTCATCTTGTCATGCCCTTTCTGCATCACTTCACCCTGATACTTCATCCACACTTCCATCCATTTACAGTAAATAGTGGCCTTCAGTTATTACTAGGAAGTTTTGTACCCAAGATGTTTTTGTAATTCCAAACCACTCTGTGTGTCTGTATGCAGTGCATGCACGCGGGATAAAGGAAGTGAATGAAAGACAAGAGGTGAAAGTCAGTGGGGTTTTTATGTTCATTGGTTTCTTGTGTGCTTTTTTCAAAGTAGACATAAGTTCTGCAACTAACATAAACCACAATCCCTCCAGGAAAACTTCTGGTTATCACTGTGCCTGAACTGCAGAAGTGGTTACAGGCGTCCCTGCACCCGTTTGAGGAATACTTCCTGAAGTCGAAACATCTTTGGCATACCTGTATGGTGTACTGGTAGACTCCTGCTTTGGGCTGCCAAGGAAACGTCAAAATGCTGGGGGAAAGAACTATAGGAGCATATATTTCAACATCTTGTTGGTTTTTCACTGGAACTGGTAATGTATGAACGCCTCCATCCTACAAAAAGCAAGAGCACAGTATTATAAATGACACTAGAAGGCTTATCGGAATTAATGTTTAGTCCTGATATACAGACAAGTTGTTGAAAAACAGAAAGGAAAGCAACTATTTAGGGTCACTTATGAACACTGTTACTTGTGAGCAAATAGCTCATGGAAGCAAAGTATGCTATTGTATTAAATGAGTAGTATTCCTACGGAGATACAGGTGCCTCCATTAATTTTAATGGCAAACAGCAATAAGAAATATACTCTTTCCCTACTCCTAGTTTTTCAGACTCTGTCTCAGGAACTAATTCGGTAACTCCACACCTGCATTTACTCTTTGCTCATTCTGCAATGCAGGAGATGGAGACAAAACTCAGCCTAACAGACTCATTCCTCAGCTCATCCCGAAACACTGGCCTTTACCACTTTGCTGTCATTGTAATACCACGACCTTCTGGCACAACATGCTGTTTCTTATTGGAGCTCTGAAGGGACACTTTTAACAGCTGCAGCCACCCTCACTTCATCCAAGAGTACCTCTCTGACATGAGGCTGAGCATGGCTCGTCAGCTACAAGGATCTACTAAATCCTACTCAAGGAATCACTATTTTTGCTGCTATTTCACAGCAAATGGGTTAAAGTCCTAAACTTTTCCCCATTCCAAGCAAAGCCCGTCACTTGCACAGCACGTGCCCTGGTTAGCCATACATTCAGCAGCCTGCCCAACTAGCACAAAGTTAATGAACGTTAATTTGCAGGCTGATACATTTGGCAGATGCTCACTCCAGCATTTAACATCACTTACCAAATGATAGAAAACTTTCCAAATGTAACTGAATGCAGAGCAGGCCAGGGTATGACACTGATGATCCTACCACAATAAATTGTAAAATTCACTCAGGGACTGTGAGAGGACCTCTGCACCAGCACAAGGAAACGAGATGTGCCAACATTAGTATCTGGCATGAAAAAACAAATCAGTGCTGTGCACCACTGCTTTCACAGGCATTTGTCACATGCTCCGTAGCAGAATCTCAGTATCTTTACTTAAGCAAATCCCCTGTTGACTTAATTGGCAGTTTTCCTGAAGTAAGGATTTTAGAATTTGGCTCTGTTTAAACAAAGACAACTTAGACCCATGTAATTCCCAGGTTTCCTTTTACTATGTCACTATTAAGTCACTACTGCACAGGTAGATTATTTTTAGGCCTACCAAGTAAAGCAGAGGAATTATTATAAAAACATACCTGATCCACTACTGATGTCAGTGCAGCATCGAGAACAGTCTGACCCTTCTTTATTGCTTTCACATAATGATATGATCCATTCAGAGATGACTTCAGCACCTCAAAATATTCTTTGGGCAGCTCTGCATTAATTCTGATACTCTAAAACCAGAACATTCAATAGATATTGCCCAAAGTAACTGACAGTAATGCTGTACAACCAGCCAGAAACATATTAGCAACACATCAGTGAGAAGAACTGTTTAATAACAGTTCAAGGAAACTTATCTGAAGCTGAGTAAGAATTTTTCCCTATGCAAGTTTCAGTTGTTCAATAAGAGTATATATTTTAGACATTAACCCCACAGAAAACATTTACTTATTTAAATTATCAGCAACTTGTAATTTAACATGAAAATTACCAATATTTTTACTACTAAATAACCCATATTTTGCAATAGTTAATTATGGCATTCTTAAGAACAATAAAAAGGGAAGAATGTGCAAATATACTGCCCCAGTAGCTGGAACTCAGATCTGGATCTCAGGAAGGAAAAAAAGTGCAAATAAAATAACATTCCCAGAAATCTGATATTCTGAAAAGCACTCATTTAATAAAGTTTTCCTGCTTGCAAATTAACTATTTAAACTGGGGGGAAAGGGAGGGGTTTGTTGATTTTATTTTTGTTTTTTAAAGTCACTGTCTATTTGGTGGCTGGTACCAAGAATTCCTTTTATTGAACTACCAAACAGCAAAGTGTTTAAATGCTGATCACCAAATCTCTTTCCATGATCAGCTGAAACAGGCACTTCCTCACAAGTGTTGTCGTAAGACCACCTTATGCCTACCTCATTCCTTAACAGGAAAGACTACCTCTAGACATGACAATATTCTGTTGGAAGGACTACTGCTCCTAGCAGTTATACCGGTTTGCAGTTTCCAGTGCAATGCCTGCGTTCTGTGTTTGAAGTCACTGTCCGACTTTTGGTCTTTCCTACAGCACTTAAATGCCAATGGGCATTTTCACATGGAATCCCAGAATCCCAGACTGGTTTGGGTTGGAAGTGCCATTAAAGCTCATCCAGTTCCCAAACCCTGCCACAGGCAGGGACCCCTTCCACTGGAGCAGCTTGCTCCAAGCCCCTGTGTCCAACCTGGCCTTGAACACTGCCAGGGATGGGGCAGCCACAGCTTCTCTGGGCACCCTGTGCCAGCGCCTCAGCACCCTCACAGGGAAGAGCTTCTGCCTAAGAGCTCATCTCAGTCTCCCCTCTGGCAGGTTAAAGCCATTCCCCTTGGCCTGTCCCTACAGGCCCTTGTCCAAAGCCCCTCTCCAGATTTCTTACTGGCCCCCTTAGGCACTGGAACTGCTCTAAGGTCTCCCTGGAGCTTTCTCTTCTCCAGGCTGCATAAACCTCAACCCTCCTTCCTAGGAGAATCACATGAATCACCCAGAGTATTTTATTTAAAAACAACAAAACACTGAGAAAAAAGAAAAAGGCAAGAAACAAGATGCTTTCAAATGCCCTATCTCATTGTAAATCAGAAACTGCTCAACTTATTTCGAAGAAAGACAGGATTTAGGAGAAAGACACTCAGAAGTATATCAACATTTCAACTTACATCAGATAAATACACCTTATTGCTCGATTTATCATACACTTCAATTGAAATTTCATAAAGTCTCCCTGTTTCTAGGACCCATCTGTCACATGGTTGAATTGTAAATCCTACAAAACAGGAAATATTGAACAGCACAAGCCATCAGGCTCTTGACGTAATGGATATAAGCATTTTGCTTCTGGTGCCCACACTTCGAAGATGCACATTCATTGTCTTAAGCTGCTGAGCACAAAGATGAAAGAAAAGAAAGAAGTATTTACTACTAAACCTATTTTGTATTGAGCTACTTTTATTAATAAAGTTACTTTTCTATGAACAGTAGTATGAGACTTGGAAGCATGTATGCACACACACAGAAACACAAGGCAAGACATTATCCGGAACAATCAGGAAAGCTGCAGCCAGTACCAACCTAAATACCCAGGATCCACAACGTAGACAGTGCTGTTGGGCAGCCTGGAAACCCCCTGCATGCGAATACCTGAAGTCTCAGTAAAGGAACAGAAAAGTTTTGAAAGAAGTCAAGTAAAGACCAGCATGTTCTGGGGCACATTGTGCATCTTTGGATATTTAAAGCTAATCGTACACTGAAAATAAATGTGTAAATAAGTAAACAAACACTACCCTGAAAGACAGTGAGTAGTTCAGAGAGATGCCAGTAGAGAATATCTATAAATAAAAGCCCCACCACATTTCCACATAGACTGAGGGGAACAGACATGATTAAGTGATCTTTTGCCAACCTAATTTCTTAGAACGTTTCAAGGCACCAGGCAGCTCTGTTGAGACTGAATTCACATCACTGCTGCTGTCTATGGCTCCATCAGGTGGCCCTGATTTTCAAGAGCACTGATGAAATTGTGGTTAATTTTATCTTGTTTTGCTACAAAGGGCAAAGTTTTATCTCCTGCCACAAAGATGTGGACAGAAAAGCATCACCTCGGAAGGATACTCTTGTGCCCCAGTACGAGGTTAGTTTGTCCCCGCCGCAGTGCAGTTACAACTGAGCTTGCCTGGTCCAACTTGGCAACTGGCCATGAGGCATCTCCCTCGGGACCTGGCATGCTGTTCTGTAGCTGCAGCTCATACTGATCTGACGGCATTCGTAATTCTGTGCATAAAACAAGACAACACACGGAACAATAACAGTAAGTGTGGCAGCGCTTGGATGATGCTAATTATTGCTGATGAATTTTTATTGCTGCCTAGTGCAACATTAAGTCAGTATATTTAATGTCTTGTAGAAAGAGCGTTTCTATTAGCCTATTGCTTAGACTTAACACCCAATTCATGCCCAGCTTCTCAAGTGGTCAAATTACTTGGTAGAGCTCCTGCTGCTCCACAGTGCACTATGAGCTGCTGCACTGACCTCGTCTGCCAGCCTAGCAAAATGTTTCCTACCTCAATTCCTTAAAAAAGGCAAGTCATTCCCAGCACAGGCTCCCTGGAAGCACCTAATTACAAACTCCCACGCTTTGGAGATAAAGCCAGCAAACCCACACGTGTAGCAGTGGAGCAAATCCATTTGTGAAGAAAACATTTCTGTTAGAAAAGTTACTAATCTAAATTTCATTTAACTAAGAAAGCCAGACACAGTTTCTCAGGCAATGTGAAGCAAATGCAGACACCTGAACTGACAGTGGTAGCTCCTGATCTAAGCCACCCTCACCTTCACATCCTAGAACAAATTTGCAAGAGTGTATATATCCTTTAAAGCCATGGGGGTTTTGACAGAAGAAACTGTACAGCTCTATCAACATGTGACGTTACACATTAACAAAGCAGTTGAAACACAATTAAAACTTTCTCAGCAGTTAAAACTTCACACAAAGCATTAATAAAAAACAAAGAAAGAAAAGAGACCAGAACCAACCTGTGATCTTCCCTTGCCTGACTGTCTGAACTCTGTACTGAACTGATGTTCCTACCAGAAGATAAACGTCATACGCTGGATTTAAAAGGATGTTTTCCAAAATGAGCAATCTGACTTCTGCAGGTTGTACATGCTATTGATTTAGGGGAAAGAAAGGAAAAGCAATCACATTTACAGCAGCTCATTTGTTTGAAACAGTCCATGCAGCTATAACTTAGAGATTGTAAGTGAGTAGTACTACTTGTTATAATTGCCTCTTTATTATCATTTCAAATCTCTCAAAGAGGGAGATGCAAGGGACAATGACTGGAATAGAGATCTGCCCTGTGCACACTGCGCAAGGCTAAAGAAAAACAAATAAAGTGTGTAGGGACATCAGTTTGGTTCCATTTGCTGAAGGATTCAGAAGAACTTGAGGCAGATGCACACTGACTAGTCAGACCTCCAGAAATTTGTTTTCCCTACTGTAAAACATGATACCTCTATACAACATATCCATTATGACTTCAGTGAGGAATCTGTATCAAACCCATTGGTCTATTAAATTAGGAATGGAACAGATAATTGTACCAATTCTATTACAATTGTGTAAGGGATGTTCACTGAAAACGTGCAGTCTGGCAGCAGTGAAAGATTGAAAGGAACTACTACCCAGAAAGCCATGAAAAACTGCATACAGAATAATATTTCCATTTCATTTACAGCATCAGCTCAGAACTAATTCAGAAAAATAAATATTAAAACAGAAAGCAAGTTACAAGCATTTAAGAAAAAAAAAGTCAGCCTGGTAACAGGTAATTATATTAAGCACAAATCAGGTAGAATTGTAATAAGAATACAATCCTAAATATGCACATGTACCACATTTCAAGTATTACATTCATTTAGACAATATTCATATATAATCACACAACGGTTTTGGGTGAAAGGAACCTTAAAGTTGCATCTACACCTTTGTCTGGGCACCCTGTGCCAGCGCCTCAGCACCCTCACAGGGAAGAGCTTCTGCCTAAGAGCTCATCTCAGTCTCCCTCTGGCAGGTTAAAGCCATTCCCCTTGGCCTGTCCCTGCAGGCCCTTGTCCCAAGCCCCTCTCCAGGTTTCCACTGGAGCTGCTCTCAGGTCTCCCCTTCAGGAGCCTTCTCTTCTCCAGGCTGCCCCAGCCCAGCTCTCTCAGCCTGGCTCCAGAGCAGAGCTGCTCCAGCCCTCGCAGCATCTCCATGGCCTCCTCTGCACTCGCTCCAGCAGCTCCACGTCCCTCTTGTGCTGTTGCCCCAGAGCTGGATCAGGGCTGCAGGGGGGATCTCCCCAGAGCACAGCAGAAGGGCAGCACCCCTTCCCTGAGCTGCTGCTCAAGCTCTGGGGGTGCAGCCCAGCACAGGGGGGGGTTATGGGCTCAAGCACACACTGAAGCTGGGTCACGGGGAGCTTCTTATCAACCAGCCCCCCAAGTCCTTCTCCTCAGGCTGCTTCATCCAACTTCCCCCAGCCTGTGTTTGTGTTGGGATTGCCCCAACGCAGGGGCAGGATCTTGCACTTGGCCTTGTTGAACTCCAGAAGGTTTGCATGGTGCCACCACTCCAGCTTGTCCAGGTCCCTCTGGATCCCATCCCTTCCCTCCAGCATGGTGACCCAACACACAGCTTGGTGTCATTGGCAAACATGCTGAAGGGGCTCGATGGTGCTGTGCATGTCATCAACAACAATGCTGATGAGTGCCAGTCGCAACACCAACCTGAGGCTCTCCACTCGGTCACTGATCTGAGCTTGGACGTCGAGCTGTTCACCACAACTCTTTGAGTGCGACCATCCAGCCAATTCTTTATCAGCTGAGTGCTCTACACATTATATCTGTGCCTCGCCAGTTTAGAGACAAGGATGTCATGCAGGACAGTGCCAAAGACCACTTTTTACAAGTATGGGTTAGACAGTCCAAGGCAATCCTGCTTTAAGCAAATACATTATGTACAACATGGAGTAACACAAAACTCCAAAACCAGATAGGAGATGAACTTTAGAAAACCCCAGGTTTTATAGAAGGATTTTTCTAACGCGCGTTATTAAGTTGATGTGAGCACAATGATAAATATTCCTGTGAGCAATTACCCACCAAAACTCTCTCAGGTGTTTGCAAATTCTATTAAGAGGAAAAACAGTTCTTGCCAGAGTTAAATGAAAAACTCAGTTCCCACAAGTTACAAAGAAAGAAACAGCATGGATCTAGAGAACAGCTGGGAAGCCTGCCAATACTGCAGTTTAACACCCTTGTAGCATTGACCTTCTGATCCCAAAGCCCTTCCTTGGAGACCAGAATCTAATGAGGTAGAATTAGATACTAACAAAGTACTTGTATGCCATTCATTCAAAGCACTACAGGAAATAAAGGTACATCCAATACAGCAATATCTGTTCTAGCCATACATTTATTGACAAAACAACCTCAAATGTTCTAGCTGGTTATTTGTAAAAAGAGCGAATGGACCAATGCCCGATTCAGCATAATTCTACTTATACATGTAATATGAATATCAGGAGTAATAAAATTGTACAAACTTTACTGCCAGTATTTGAAGTGTATTCCTCTGGAGCAGGGCTTTTTGTCAGAGTTAGGATTAGAAATGATCTCTAGCACACGCACCATCCTGGCTGTTGTGGTTTAAGCTGAACCCAGGACACTGGCTTAGACAACCACACCACAGTAACTGCATCGAACTCCAGCCCGCTCAGGTTGGAGCAGCACTGTCATCTTTTGTGATACAGACTACAGAGACAATCCAGTACAACAGAAATGCACCACTGATACCCATAATGGCAAGAACGCAGCAGGGCAAATGTACAGTATTCCTGTAATACTGAACTATAAGACTACAAAAATAAAAGGAATGCCAGTTTCTTACCATATAGATGTTTTCCTCTATTCTTGCTTCTATTTTAGAACTCCCTGTTTTCATCCCAGACACCAAAATAGTATCTCCTTGCTTAGCAACTTTTTCCATCTCTGATATATAGGAAGGTGGAATATAAGTGGATTCAAAGAACTTGAGTATACTGGAAAGTAAAACAAAAAATGGACAGAAAATTTTCAACCAATCTTTGTAAACCCCCAGAGAAACAAAACCAGCATCTACTCCAGCTACTTCCATTTTTAAGCAAATTTAAGATGTCTGCCTGGGTCCAGATATCCAAATTTTACTCATTCTTCAAGATATCTGCAGCTAATTTCTGTGACTGATAAAAGTTTGTTTGAAGCCTGTTTGTGGGCTTTCAAGAGCTATCAGAAGAGTGCACATGTTGGTTATAATGATCCCTCCAGTTTTTACAGGAGCTGTGGAGTGCAAAAGCGCTCTAGATTATTGTGGAACAACTGATGTGAAAGACCCAAAGCTTATGTTTATAAAAGCAACAGCTTAACAAACCAGAACATAACTTTAAACTACATGAAGAAGTGAGGATGCATTTAATAAATGACTATGAAAATACCTACAAGCAGAACCGTGTAGTGAGTGTTGGAAATTTCAATGAGATGTGGCAGCAGAAAGGAAGGGAATTTGCCATGAATGGGTAAATGATAGAACAGAAATTGCAAGAGGACCATGACAGCTTCTGTATGCACATGATCTGTCTGGCTTTATGTGCACTCACAGTAAAATCAGTAAAGCCATATTGAAAACATTTATGATTAACATATTTATGACAGTTTATAGTTCATTTTGCAAAGCTGTAACACCATTAAAATATTTTTATGTTCTCACAGCTGTGTTAACAGAAGAGCATATATCAATATTAGTTTGGTGAAAATCACATCTCTAGCAAATAATTACACTGAAATAAAACGCTCCCTATGGACTAGGCCTTGGCTCATCAGCCTTACTGAACCATGCACACACTCTGCTCTCAGTGTAGACAGGGGCCATACATTCATACCTGCAGCTTCAAGTGCATTATGGGCTTAACAGGCTATCCTCAGGCAATACTGTGGCTTTGTTTCTCTAGGACTGCAAAATGGGGAGTTTTGTTCACTCAATAAAGAGTCTATTTTGGGTTCCCATTCCCAATGTATTTGGAATATAGGTTTGAGGATGGAAGTTAAGTGTTAGCCATTCTGCTCTCCAGGAAAACTGGTTCCCCCACATGCTCATCATAGAATTACCCTATGAAGGAAGTGGGAGGCATCCCTGCCCATGGCACAGGGTTGGAACTGGATGATCTTAAGGTTCTTTGCAACCCAAACCATTCTGTGATTCGATTCTATGATATAGTTTCCTACATTATTTTATGTCCACACCTTAACTCCCCTTTGATGGAACCTGTTTGCTGAAGTAACTGAAGCCTCTGCTGCATGATTAATTAATGTCCATTAATGGCTGGACTTGATGATCTCAAAGGCCTTTTCCAACCTAGCTGATTCCATGAGTCTGAATCTACTTCATCTTACAAGCTTACTAGATGTTACGGAGGTTTTGAGTAGCTGTACTCAAAAAGCATCTGTAAAGAGTTTTGTGAGGAAAAAATACATTTCATGTACTTGCAGTCTGGTCGAATTCACATACATCAAGAAGGCATTTTTTATTACCAACATTCACATGAAGCAAAGTCAAGATTCACCATGGTGCATAATCACAGAATGGTTTGTGTTGGAAGGGACCTTAAAGCTCATCCAGTTCCAACCCCCTGCCATGGGCAGGGACCCCTTCCACTAGAGCAGGGTGCTCCAAGCCCCTGTGTCCAACCTGGCCTTGAACACTGCCAGGGATGGGGCAGCCACAGCTTCTCTGGGTACCCTGTGCCAGCGCCTCAGCATCTTCACAGGGAAGAACTTCTTCCCAATACATATAGTATGATGAGCACCAGCAAAATACTGCCAGATAACAGGATCTTGATGTGCTGACACCAGCTGCTGTCAGGGCAAAGATAAAACTCTTGGAGTCCAACTTGAGAAATATCCCATACAAGCTCCTGCTATGTAGCCTTCAGCTCTGGTTAGTTTAATATGGATGGAAAATCAACTTTCTGTTTGAAGCTACTGAAGAACAGAACAAAGTCATCACTGTAAATCTACACAGTGTACATGCTTCATAAAATAAAAACAAAACAACACCAAAACAGAGACCAAAAATGCTCCAGTGACAAATATGGGTGGAGATCTACAGTCTGGATTTTATTCCTATCCCTGCCATGGTGAGCTTTCTGACTTCGTGGCAAGAACTTCACCTCCCTTAAATGGAGGCAATATTTCCTTATTATACAGCAATGCTGAAAACCACTTATCTCCTCAGTGGGCTGAAAAGCACTGTCAAGATCTTTGGACAGAAGTTTCCACAAAGTACTGCATTTTTAAATTCCAGTTAACTTACTCTTTGAGTCAGTACAGATGAACCAAGCACCATGGCTTATTTATCAAGCAAAAGCTTTCCAGTCATTGCTTTGTCTGAAAGACAATATATTGAGTACCTTCACTGAATACCTTTCATTGAACCATCTCACCTGGTCTTACACGTGTTATCTAGCTAACAAGCAGCCACTTGGTCCATTCCAATTTAAAAGTTAGCTACTTTGAAAGCAATTTCAACACCAGAACTGAGCATTAACTGAAACCTAAAACTCTCCAGTTCAGAGGGCTCCTTTCTGAAAGAAGAGGACTGGTATTTTTCCTTAAAAGAATAAATAAATAAATTAATACCTCCCTGCTGAAATCCTGAGGTAAGTCTTACTGATAAATTTTTCCTTTGCACGAGACGTTTCAGGAAGATCAACAATTGCATCTACTTATTTCTAGCTGTTGCATTAGAGCTACCTGGGCTGCTCAATAAAGCTACCAGTTGTTAAATTAAACAGGGATCAGAGTGCCCAGGCTGTTGAGTAGGCACTTAAAAACCCAACCCCCTGAAACAACTGACTCGTAAGCACTATTCTGGGCATGGGATCAGTAAGCTGCCTGATGTGGGGCAATATTTACACACATCAAACTCAACGGACTTAAGACTTTGGAGAACAAATTAAATGAACTCACCGCAGCGCATTGTGGGAATCCGAGAAGCCATCAGCCTCTGTGTCCTTTACTATTGTCCAGTTGAAGGCTAACCCGGCCAGTGTGCTGAAAGTGTTTCCTACAGATCAAACAATCAGATCAAAACAAAGCTAAGTAACAAGCAGAGAGTCTTCCTGCAACACAAGCTAGCACTTTTCCCCTTGAAAATTTCCCTCTCTTTTCCCTACAGGAAGCTCAATCTGTATGCAGTTAAAAACCACAACGTAGCTTGCTTGACTGACCTTGGCACAGGGAAGATGCTCCTGTTAACTGGCTTCTCTGTTCACATTTTGCAACACCATTTGTCTCTTTATAAGCCTGCTACATAGGTGCAGGGGTCACCACTTACACTCCATTCATCAGCCCCCAAGATATGATAGAATCATAGAATGGTTTGGGTTGGAAAGGATCTTAAGGTCATCTAGTTCCAACCCTTCTGTCATGGGCAGGGACATGCCACCCTAGACCATGCTGTCCAAGGCTCTGCCCAGCCTGGCCTTGAACACTGCTAGGGATGGAGCATTCACCATTTTTTTTTGGGCACCCTGTGCCAGCACCTCACCACCCTCATAATAAAGAACTTCTTCCTTATATCTAACCTGAACTTCCCCTGTTCCAGTCTGAACCCATCATCCCTTGTGCTGTCGCTACAGTCCCTGATGAAGAGTCCCTTTCCAGCATCCTTGTAGGCCCCTTTCAGACACTGGAAGGCTGCTATGAGGTCTCCATTCAGCCTTGGCACCCATCACCTCCCTTCCACTTTAACCACAAAAACCTTACTACTTCTTGAATATTAGCAGGACATCAAAATAACCTGCTAAACTACCTTTCATTCTCAAACACTGGGATGTGGGATACCAACTCGGTGAGTTGAGTTCACCTCACTGGTGAACTGCACTTTCCCCATAAGATTGCTTTTGGGTTTGAGCACAAATATGATTTACTCCTAACAGGAATATGTCTTCACTCACAGAACTCAAACTGAGCACCTTCCTTCTAGAAACTGTGACGCACTGGAACATGAGAAATTGTAGATATTAAAAAGGAACAGAAAGGAATAAATAGAATAAACCCAAAGATTTTTCATGATTACACTCAAGTACTCCCTTTGACATTTATAACTATATTAATAAAGAATTAGAGCAAATGTATTACCAAGTTCTTGTGCTTAAAGGTTTATGGCACTTTTAAGTCACAAAAATATTTTAAGACAAGTTAACACAACACACAGCCTACGTTATTTCTATGCAGCTTACTGCGGACAGTACCAAATCCCAAATAAACAGGGTTTAAACACAAAACTCTCAAAACACAGCAATATAGTTAAAATGGACGGAGACTGGATTACTTAAACATGCATTCGAGTCTAACTTTAACGATGCATGCCGCAGCTTTGTAAAGCTGTATGACACACTTTTGTTTTGTTCTAGCTGAACATCATGAGGCCAGTGGAGAACTGCACATGGTGGCACTATAGAGAGGCTACGCATGGGCACAGCCAGCACCACAGTGAACTCATAGCCTTTGAACCACCACCATGGATGCCCTGGCTCCTGCTGGAGTCCCACACTACAAAGGCAAAGCCAGTTTATCTCTGATAACCTATCACATGCATTATCAGATAACCATGCAGGGTCTCACTCACCCAGACAGGATCAGCTACCCTTGCAGCACAGAGGGCCCTGGCTGTCTCCAGGTTAAGCCTATCAGAAACAGCACCCAGGGAAGCAAACAGGAAACACAGCACTTGCCATGAACTGAGTGATGTCTCTGTCCCTCCCTGCAGGATCACAGGGCCGTCACAGGAACTGCAGAGCAGCTGCCTGGCCAGCTCCCACATCACCCTCCAGGCTCCTCAGATGTCAGTACAGGCAGTGACTTGTGCTCCACAGCCCTACATGGACAGAGCTGCTCCTCTGTGCTGCTTCAGCAGCTCTGATCGTCATGAGCCTGAAAGGTGCCTCCCAAAAGTGAGTGTTTCTATAATAATTAACAGTTATTAATCCAAGCAACAGGTGTTTGGTCTTCTATACAATCTCCTGCATCCTGTTGGATACTTGACTGGACTCAGATAAAATGTCCTTCTGCAAAATTCTTTAGACAAAGAAAAGAATAAAACAAACAGGCTACATGACCTTCCTGTGCAGCCTTGCTCAGTCTGGTTAAATCCCGGTGGGACACGTCCACAGGACAAGTGCTGGGAGTAAAAACCTGATTTCTAAAAATACCCTTAGCACTACAGTTAAGTTTCCTGGGAAAATACAGAAAAAGGGCAAGCAAAAGTTGGAAATCAAGCACTGTTTGACTTCCCTGTTCAGGTGGCATTTAGATTTTACACTTGAACAAAAACAAGAGGTTACTTAATGTACTGTCCAAAGAACTCCCTTTAAATTATTCACCTTGATACTCAGTTGTGTCACAAATAAAACCAGTGCACGTGTCAGACAATTAAGAGTTCACTATGTATTTTATCTCCTACTAGTAAGTAAATCTCTTACCTTCAGAATCCAAAGCCTGAATTTTTAGCTCCAGTGGTGAATCTTCAAGATAGAGCTCTCTTGTTGTGGACACGATCTGGATGCCATGAATTGTATCCACTATAGCATCACAACGAAGCACTTGTCCAGTCACTTGAAGAGAAACGGAAAGAGCACATGAGATCAGCAATACTGGATGCACTCATCAAGAGCACCCACAAGACAAACACAGCTCAAGTTTAGCCCATGGCACAAGACACTGAAGGAACTGAAACTAGGTCATGACCTTGACCAAGAAACTCTTGGTCAAACGGTGACTGTGGCTAGAGCAAGAAAAGCAGTTTCCTTCCTCATTGAACTTTGGAATAAATCTTAAGAAAACATGATTCCAATCTACACTAACAGTTGGATGGTTTATCTAAGTACATATTTAGAGTTTTTACAGTGCAACTGTTGGACTTTCACTCACGGATGATAAACCCCTGTACACCTCTTCATCTAGTGACTGCAAGACATTTAATCGATCACGTTTTTGCCTATCTGCGGTAATAAAAAATAACTAGCTGTACTGTATGACAGACACTAAGGCAATTTCCAGCTTTCTAAATACAAGACATCTGAATTTGCATTACAGAAAAAGTATGCACTGAAAATTACGTTCAGCCACCACCCTTGCCTTTTTTGTTTGTTTGGGTTTTTTTTTTAAAGAATTACCCTTTTTCCTGGATGTATCATTAATGTTCTCTTCATCAGGGACTGTAGTGGTAGGACAAGGGGCAATGGGCTCAAATTTCAACAGGGGAGATTTAGGTTAAATATAAGGCAGAAATTCTTCCCTGTGAGGGTGCTGAGGCGCTGGCACAGGGCACCCAGAGAAGCTGTGGATGGCCCATCCCTGGCAGTGTTCAAGGCCAGGCTGGACACAAGGGCTTGGAGCAAGCTGCTCCTTGGCAGGGGGCTGGAACTGGATGAGCTTTAAGGTCCTTTGCAACCCAAACCAGTCTGGGATTCTGTATAGTTATGACCATGCATATGAATAGATATTTCTTGGTTTGGGCACTTAACCTCTACTTTGTTTCTGAAGGATGCCAGGATGCCCATAAACAAGAATTGGTGTGCTACAAAAGTGAAAACTTACTTATATCTTCAGCAAAGATGATACTTGTCAGTCGAGTGGGCTGCGAGGACCGTGCCTGGACAAGAGCTTTCTGGGAACACTGGCGCTCATCCTGATATATCAGCTCTATGCTCGCCACCTCCGGCCGGGTGGAGGACCTACAAGGGTATTTGATTGTGTTAGCAGCATTCAAGTTACAAAAATCAAGGGTCTGGTTAAAAAGCCACAAAAATAATTTACATGAGACATGCTGTCTGGTCATGGCCCGGCTTTCACAAGAGCTGGACTGCAACAGCTCCTGCAGGACCTCAGGAAAAGCAAGTGCAGGCTGAGGAAGGGGGAGAGCACAGAGCAGAGGCCCACCAGCACCCAGGCAAACACGGCAGCATTATCTCCACTGTGGCATGGTCACTGCTGAAGGCCGTTCAGCCGCCTTACAGCTGCACCACTCCTAACAGTCACAAAGCCTTCAGCCTGACCATTTATTACCTTAGAGGCATGGAACAAGGAAAACCACATACAGAATACTGAAGCAGAAGGTAAAACAATTTTAGCTAAACTCCAGTCACCACCTGTAATCGCATTATCAAACCAAGTCTGAAGCAAAGTTCTGGAAACACTGGAAGTTTTCCCTCATAGCAGAACATCACAGTTACGCAAGTCTGCTATGGCACAGCCTCTCAACAAGTACAAAAAAGCATTTTTTAAATGGCTTTAGCCTGAAATATGTAACACGGTGTAAAACACGCAAAGATGTATAAACATCTTTGGTAAAACATAAGCCTACATGGAATTTTGACCTAAAATCAATGCATCTGTTAATCCCTGCTCTCACTTACATGGCTTTTCCAAAGACAACTTTTCCGGGAATAAGCTTGTGAGAACCCCACTATATGGACATGGAGCCCAGCCCTTCCTTCCTGTGTGCCAAAAATGTTGAGATGAGGGAAAAATTCCTAAATTATTAGAAACCAAGCCTTTTGAAATTAAAATTGAGATAACAGCAATATGTGTCTGAGGCCCCAGTGTAGTGCTCAAAGCAACTGACAAGATTCAAGCAGGCCATACCTCTGGTAACTAATTCAAGAATGTCACTCCTCCCAGCTGGGATGAGAACTGGGACACAGCTTGTCCTTACCACTCGTGCAGGAGCTCCTGCAGAGGAAGCCTAAAGCAGCCTGCCTGTGCACAGCCCAGGGCCCAGCACCCTGCTAAGCCGCTAGTGAATTAAGCCATTGCTGTTTGCTTTGGGATCCCAGTGAAAGCTCTTTCACAAGGGTCCTTGGGAGGATTAAATCCATGAAAAGAGCACTGATGACAAAACTGCTGAGGAATTGCTCCTCCCAGATGATGACAGCATTGCATTGTCTGGTAAGCAGACTCCTAACCAGACACCAGAACCCCACCTGGTAAAGATGGTGATGCTGGATTAATTCAGGCTTCTCTTCTGGAGGATGTTCAAAATGCCTACCTGAGATCTATGGGGAAAACCTAAATCAACAAGGAGCTGGAGAGGAACTGCAAACAAACAGCAAGCTCCCACATGCCCTTCTCCCCAGATGAAGGCTGTAGCTACTTTTAATACTGGCAGAACCAACCAATCCATAACAGTGAACAAAAAAAATTCTTGTTAACTAAAACTGAATCCACTTCGATAAATAACTGTAAGATAACTGAACATGCTGTGACAGCTGTTAACATGTTACCTGTGAACATAATGTTAACAGTTGCAGTCCAATGTGGTAGTTGTCACTGGAATAAAACTTCAAATCCTGTTTTCAACACTAAGCTGCAGACAAAGCACCAAGAGCACATCCTTCAGCTTGAAGCAGTCTGAGAGGGCTAATGCTGCATTCCTCACCAAAACTTCACTTGAAACAAACCTACAGTGTGTCAGCTCCCCAGTTCCCTACATATGTGTCTGGATTTTATCACACTATACTGTCCCAACAAGCTTGTGATCCAAGGGCACCCAATGCTGGCCAGAGCATTTGCAGTCGCACCTGCTCACAGCAGTGTTCAGGCTCACAGGCACTGCACAGCACTACAGAAGCTTTGTCTTGGCCAAAATTCATTTAATTCAACAAATTATTAATTAAATTCATAATACTGGTGTGCTCCCAACAATATTTCACTTACACAAAGGTTAGCTTTAAAGGATTCTGAAATAACAATAGCAACTGCTCATGCAGAAATTGCAAATTATTTTATCTGGTCAGGGTAAAACCAACCCCAAGCAGCATGGAATGGAAATTAAAAACCATGTAGAAGATTAAGCCTTAAAAGTGTTTGTTATATTCTAGATATCCAAGCAATGCATACAAACATGGGCCTATTTTGTCATACTGGGGCATACAGTGTTTCTAAACCAAAGTGATTTATTTTCTATATTAGTAGTACATTTAGCTTCACTCTACAGAGATTAATTCAGGAGTGAACAATTATTTTCCTGTCATTCTGGAGCTTCTTAGGCAGCCCTGAAGCAGTTTTCCAACACTTTGCAAGTTTCCCTCAACAATGTTAGCATTCACGAACAGTAAGGCTCTTCCTGCACTTGGCTGGTAGGCTTTTTGAGCTGAGCATGCCAGTCTGACTGAACATGCACGAAGGCATTTCTAAATAAGCCTTATACGCATGGAACTGACTTTTACTATTTAGCTCATTCTATTGACTAATATTATCTGCCATTAGATTTTGTTTATTAATTTGAGGAGTTTGCATTCTTGCAATGTGAAACTGCTTGTGTTTACAACACAACAGAGGTTTCAATGTGTTTTGTATTTGTTCTTTTAATAGATGGCTGTGTGACAATACATAACCACCACAGTCTGCACTAATAGCAGCGTTGTAAAACTAAATCTAATTACAGAATATTTTTCAGACTAGAAAAAGGAACAAAGATAAACTAAAAGTCTGTAATAAATTTTAGCTGTGAACTTACAGCCCACAATTGTAAAGGAAGTTTTAAGCTTTTCCAGCTGAATGCTGGTTAACTCCTGGTTGTCACGAGCAGGGAACCTGAGAACAGAGAATACTTGGCCTCTAACAGTAGCTTAAAACAGGAAGTAGAATATCAGCTGAATTTCTTACTTTTTTAATACAAACACATTTTTAGTTTTATTACCAACAGGATGGTAATGGTGGTAATAGAGAGAATTTTAGGCAGTTGTCTGAACTGGCCTGGTGCAGCAGGGCCTTTCTGAGACCCGAGTTACTACTGAGTTACATTAAAAACCAATCTGAATGACTCTTGCATTTTACACCATAACATCTGAAATATTTGATGACCCCTCAATACCATTCAGCAATATCAAAAGCAAGTTCTGTTTACAGGCGTATACGACTCAATGTTAAGAACAGAAGAGATATGGAACTATCAAACAGGCTGGATGTCAGTGGCATTCATCTGCCGTAATACACACCAGGATCACTACTGCACCCTGGACGGATGAGAAAAATAAACTTTTGCTTTAAAGTTACATCAATGACTGCATTTATACCCTCTTCCAATTCCAGCAGCTCTTCAGCAGCACGTCAGCATGTGATACTGAGAGCTAGGCTTGTCAGAGGTCAAAATTAGATCCTGAGAAGCGAGCCATGGGAAGCATTTCTGGCACTAGCTCTTGATCCCATACCAACGCCTATAAGAACACGCAAGGCAGGAGAGGAAGCTCTAGGAAGAAGCATGAAGGGAAGGGGGGAGAGCTAAAAGAAGTCCCTGTATTTATCTCCCTCAGAATAAAATCCTATTTGCTGGGGAATTAATAACACTTGCAAGAAAGTGTCACTTCCATTTTACACACGACTTTCACCTCCTTGCTACTGTGTGCCAAGATTATATCTACAGATGTACCCAAACCTAAGCCTGCAGTTTCTTAATCAACTGTTCTGTAATATCACATGTGACTACTTCAAGAATTATACTTTATCAGCTGGTTAAAAAATCAGACAAATATTACTCTCCTCTGTTGGTTCTTAACTGCTTCAAGACTTTTTACTTTGTCAGCTCTTCAGACTGAACTCCAGGGCCTACATTAGCACAAATCCTCCCTGGTGGAGATGCACCACAACTGCAGCTGATCTCATCTTTTAGAACTTGTATCAGGTATGGGGGCACATAGGTAGCCAGTGGGAAACTGGACAGTAAAGTTTTGCAAGAGTGCAGTAAGACTAGACTGACCAACGCATCAGGTACCTTATTTCCAGTCACTCTTGGGACTAGCACTGTTGACATACACAAGTGAAAAGAGACACAAGAGCCAGAACAGCATCCAGGCAACTGCAGTTGTATGATAAAAACTAGATTCCCACAGAACCAAGGATCTGGGAACTGAACCCATTCCAAAGAAAACACAAAGGAAGCCTGGCAGACTTCCCTAACTCTTGAGAATTTTTAACAGCACAGTGGCAGATTCTCTATTGTTCACTCAACCCTCTCCTAGGATGTTTCTTATTGTATTGGGAAAACAAAAATCCTCCATCTAGTTCTGCTTTAAAAGCAAATCACAACATCGCACTACAGAATGAGCCAAAGACAAAGCTTTTGCTTACCAGGGTGAAGGCTGTAATGGTGATCAGCAGGCATTGCCATTAACTTCGAAGTGGGCAGAATTAAACCAGTGATGATTGTTCTCAAAATCCAACCCAGATGCCCAGCTGTAACTCGGATGTTTTGTCAAATCAACTGGTGACCAGAAGCATTTCACCTTAAATGCTTATTTCTGTACTTTTCATGGCTGCATGAAGGAAATTGGCATGCCACACTAGTGACATTAATCTGCCAACTAAGAGAATGCAATAAATAAGGGTTGGTCTACACAAGTTGTTCTGAAATGAGCTGAGCCCGATTTCAAATTCAAAAATAAAACTAAAAAAAAAAAAACAAAAAAAAAACTAAACAGCAGTTTACTTACAAACCACAAATGTCCCATTTTGCATTCTTTCCCACTATCCACCCTTTTAGACCTTCTCACAAGCAGACACCTTTAAAGCTTCAATTACTGAGGTGAGACCCAAACCCAAAGGGAGCAAAACTCTTAAAACATTTCATGGGTGTTCAGCAAAGAACACTGCCAAAATCAAGCACAGCCCCTCCCCTCCCTGTCCTCCTTCCCAGGCAGGTTATGCTCACATTCAGAAAGGTTTCTTCAGCAGTAAATGTGCACTACAGGTTGACACATTGACTAAGGCAAAAACCACGATTATTTCTTCCACCTCTTCAAGTCTGGCAGGACACCTATGCCACAGACTCACACCACTGCTCTGGTTTTGAGCCAACACTTTCAGGTAACACAGCCCTGAGCCACCGGCACAGCACACCTCACTTCGCCAACAAGGGTATCTCAACCCAGTTCTGAGCTCATTTTGGTTTCTCCAAGAGGCTGAAGCCACACTGAGGAAGCACACACCACAGTGCAGCCAACCTACCCAGCAGTCAGCAGCATAGGCACCTCCCAGAGGGAGAGACAACATTTTGCTGCCTGCTAGAATTGCCTTCTAACTAGGAAATGCAGAGCAGATGAGACCCCCAGAAAAGGCTGCAGGGGATAACAATCATTATTTCAGATGACATTTCATAATGGGGAAATTAACAGTCAGTATCTCACACAAAACATTTTTCAGTGAAGTAAAAGACAGAGGTTTTTAGACCTGTGGTAAAACAGGCAACCCATGAAAGAACAACAAAACCCCCAGAGATTATCAGAGATGAGACTCAGATTTATAGCAAAGTAACAAACTTCAATCAGAAACACTATTTAGTATAGATGTAGATTAGGTATTAGCAGGGAGCTCTTCCCTGTGAGGGTGCTGAGGCACTGGCACAGGGTGCCCAGAGAAGCTGTGGCTGCCCCATCCCAGGCAGTGTTCAAGGCCAGGTTGGTCACAGGGGCTTGGAGCACACTGCTCTAGTGTAAGGTGTCCCTGCCCTTGGCAGGGGGGTGGAACTGGATGAGCTGTAAGGTCGCTTCCAACCCAAACCAGTCTGTGAATCTATGATAACACATTTTTAAAACATGTAAGCACCACACACATTACACAGAGTGGTAAAGCCAATTTACAACCCAGTATCAGAAACATGACAGGACAAGGAGCTAGAAAATGAGCTCTGCAGCCCAGTACTGCAACAGCAGCACAGTACGTATGTTTGGGGGGTCTCTGGAAGTACCCGTGCATCACACAGCTCAGAGACCACCCTGCTGCTGGCTCCCTCACCCCTGTGCTCTGCCTCCTGTTTCTCTCACTATGGCAATTAGCTTCACTTAGTTTCACATAACAACATCAGTGAGGGCTTCAGCAGCACACACAGATCCTTTTATTAAGGTGGCAAGAAACTCTCCATCATTATACTTGCAACAAACAACAGCATAGAGGGCCATCATCACCTCTGAGCAGTTTCCTATTGCTGTAACCTTTCCACAGCAAAACCTCAGACTTCAATGCTCAATGGTTCAAATGCAATCGGTTGAATTTCTCAAAGCTAACACCCGGAACTTAATTTTCCCCCAGTTCTCACCATGCATATCAATTCTACAAGATATAAAATAATGCTACATGCATGTAAGCATATTTACACACTACGATTTCTGCTATAAAGACCCTGTGCCATACTGTATACCCTGGGGGGAATGGGGCTTTGTTTTTGTATTTCCCCTTACAGCCCAGAATGTTATTATGCTAAGGCAGATTTCAAGGAGAGAATTCTGCTTCTGAATGCTTTCATTCTTTCAGGTGCAATTTCTGGATTAAGGTAATTAAAGATAAATACAGATGTAATTTAAATGCTAAATATACTCACACAGACTGTGTTTTGTCCCTGCAGACAGTACCACATAACAATATTTACAGATGGGAACAGTACATGCTTTGAAAACAAAGCTTTCACCAAAAAATAAACATAAAGGCAACTCATGATAGAAGGCATGAGCATCTTGAAATCAGAAAATACTTTAAAGTCATGTTTGTAATTTTATCATGGCTCCCAATCTGCTGGGATGATGATAAAAACTGATCTTTTTCCTTTGAACCACTAGAACTCTCAGACACTACTACAATCACTTTGAAAGAGGTAAACCTGAAGTCCCAATGGGAAACCGGAAAGAAAAAAGGTCACAGCATGCCACTGACTGATTTTTCACAAAATTGGACACTCAGGTATGAAAGCTAAATGTTTGAGATGAGTAATGCAGTCCTTCAAATACTCAAAGGATGGGTTTTGAAGACAGATGCTGCTCTAAGACATGAACGACTTTCATACTCTACCTCTACCCTTGCACTCGGCCATTATTACGCAACCTCAATACCTTCTCTAGAAACAAAGGGCCTGGATCTTATGATTTCCACTCCAAATCCATGCTTTTGTGCATGCAAGCCACCCATCCCTTTACAAATCCTGGTTGAGGAATGGTCACTACTTCTGAAGTCACTACATTTGACAATCACTAACTCCTTCAGTTTAAACGCCTCCTTCCAGTAACAGCTACAACTGAGCTTCAAAATGAACGCACAGGAAACCTGTCAGCAAGTAGCTGTGGAGCTGCCTGCCTGCTCAAAGTACACCACTTTCTAATCCCCTACAGCCCAAGGCCCATGAGGCCAGAGCATTACTGCACCGTTCACTCACACACACACATGCTGCTGCTTCCTCCTGATGGTTTTGTAAGCACACTTTGAGTTTTAACACCCACATCCTGCCAGTCCTTGCAAAGCAGAAGTGAATAAATACACATTTACAATCCGGGTACAGAAAATGATGACACACTCTCTATGAAGCTGATATAGCTTCCTTAATATTCAACAAAAATAATCTCTGAAGGGCAGACAGGAGAGGATGCAGAGCATGTCAAAGCCTATCTACATCAGGAGGGATCTGACCCACAGCTGGCAATGGGCACCAATATAAAGTACTCTGAAGTGCTTACAAGTCACCCTCATTAGATATGTCTGTGGACCAGTCTTGGTCTTTCCCTTAAGTACAACCTTACATCTTTTCATCTGTAGGTTTCAGTGAGACCTGCAAACGTCTGCATGCTTCTGAGCGCCAGGCACATGCAGGAATGGCTGCAGCCAGCCCAGCATCACCTAGCAGTTCACTGGCTAAATGGGAGAGTGTACACCTCCTAGATTTTACTAGTGCTTTGAAGAGTCTGTGTTTTAGCTTCTTACAATGTACTTTACCACATAACCCAAATCCTTTTAAAGAGTCATTTGCCTCAAAGATTATAATAAGGAAAAAGAAAATTAAAAAACATGAGATTTTCACTAAGATAGCCTATACAAAAATTAAACTACACAACCACAAAGAGCTCATCTAGTTAACTCTCTTTCAGGCAGCTTTTGGAGAAACTCTTATTAGTGCTCTTGTGTGCACTTCTTGTGTACATATTCAAATGTGCAAGTTGCTACAGATCAAAGGCTCATAACCAGCCCAGGGATGAGAAGCGTGGGACCACCAGGCAAATAAACTGATACAGAGTGAAAACACAGCCCTACAAGATATATTTCAGTAACTGTCAGCCACAAAATAACAACTGAAAACTGCTATCCAAACTGCTATCCATCTGGCACACACGGAAGTATGATCCTAAATATATCCTGACTGCCACATCTTTTTCAGGTGGGTGCCTCCTGCTCATTTCTGATCCAAATTACAGTTTTGTGTGCTAAAGAGAGGACGAGGAGTTGGTAATACTCATTGAGTGTGAAGACGGTTTCCAAATCCACACACACTGTGGGACTTGCCTCCAGCCCCTGGTGCTCACCACAGCCCAGCCCTGCCTCCCACGTGCCCAGCTTGCAGGGCTCCCCTGCACGAGGTAGGTCAGGGGCACTCCCAGACATGGTATATCCCATGTGCTCAGCACTAAGGCCTCCAACGGAAGAGCCAGGAAAGCTCTTGCTTATGGACAACTTGACTTCACTGTCCCCCCGCGACAAGAGCAGGGTGTTGTCTGCACTCAACGGCAGCACCGAGAGGCTCTCGACTTAGCTATTTGCTACTTGCGACTCTTGAAGTCCCTACCCCAGGTTCAAAGCGGTCAGGCTTCCGTATAACCACAGCAAGGGAAGGGGCATTTCCACACCAGCAGTGTAACCACGAGTCCTGGGTGCTGCCTGCACACACGTGGGGCTGCAGTGTCACTGAGGGTGCGTGTGGAGGCAGGGTGGGCACGGTGGGGTCCCTGAAGCAGCGGGGTGGGCACGGTGTGGTGGGTGCATGCGGGGTGTGAGGTGCATGCGGGGTGTGAGGTGCATGCGGGGTGTGAGGTGCATGCGGGCGCCCAGCCATGGCGGGAAGCTCTCAGCCCCAGGGCCATTCCCCGCAGAGCCTGCTCAGCCCTGGCCTCCAGAGAGCTCCTGTCCGGAGGGGTCAGCCCCCGCTGCACAAACCAAACCAGCCCACACCGGCGTCAGTCTGCAAAGCCCAGCCGCTCCCCTCGGGGGTTATCTCCGCTTCTACCCCCACGCTGCTGGGACACCCCAAGTAATGCGAAAGCGGCGAGGGGCGGCCTGGCCCTCCTGGCTCCCCCGGGGACCGGCCACCAGGCCCCGCCGCGGGCCGAGAAAACGCGGCAGGTGCATCCTGGCGGCGGGGGACGGAGAGAGCGGCGACACAGGCCGGCGGCACCTGCACTCACCATCGGTAGCAACCCTCGCTGGCCTCCAGCGTGAAGTTGACGTGGGTGCCGCGGGTGAAGGGCAGCAACACCTTCGGGATGTTGAGCTTGGAGGAGGCGGTGAGGCAGGGGGAGAGGAGGAGGAGGAGGAGGAGAGACAGCGCCAGCGGCGCACGGGGAGCCATGCTCCGCAACGGGCAACCGCCGCCGGTGTGGGCGGGAAAGGGCGGCGGAGGGCGGTGAGGGGAGGGACGTCAGCGGCGGGGCCGGAGGGGCGAGGAGCGGGGATAGGCCTGCCCCTGCGCGCCCCGGCACCGCCGGGCTGCCCTAATTGGCGCCAGCTGCGGGCAGCGACCGCCGCGTCGAGGCTCGGGCCTGCCGCCAGGTGCAATAACCGCAGAGCTCGGCGGCTGAAAGCGCGCCCGCAGGGGCCGCCGCGCTGTGAGCGGCTGGGCCGGGAGGTGAGCTCTGCCCAGGTGGCGTGGCTGAAGGGATGAGCCAGGCGGCCGCGGCCTGGAAGGGGCTTGTCGGCGACCACAGCCACCTCGGTGCTGGCCTCCAGTTGTCCCCAAGCAGAGCATGAGCTGTACTGGATGGGATGAAGGCCATGGTGTGTCCAGCTGCCCTCACCTTGCCTGGCAGCACCTGAGGGCAGAGCATGGTGAGGGGGGGCTTTAGAAATGCGACCTATGGATAAAGAAAATAAACAACAAAGTGAATTAAGTTGTAAATCCTGTGGATTTGAAAACCCTTAAAAGTCCATCGCGGATATGGGTATGATTACGTGCTCTGCTCTTCCAATGTGCATGTTATGGTAGAATCATAGAGTCATTTAGGTTGGAAAAAAACATTAAGGTCATCAAGTCCAGCCATTAACCCAGCACTGCCAAGTCCACCAGTAAACCACGTCCCCAAGCCCCATCCACATAAATACCTGACTCTACCCCTTCCCTGGGCAGCCTGTTCCAATGTTTGACAACCCTTCTGGTGAGGAAATTCTTCCACATCTCCATCTAACCCCGCCCTGGTGCAGCTTGAGGCCGTTTCCTCTTGTCCCATCCCTTGTTCCTTGGGAGCAGAGCCCAGCCCCTCCTGGCTCCATCCTCCTGTCAGGCACTTGTAGGGAGCCATCAGGTCCCCCCTGAGCCTTCTCTTCTCCACACTGAACCCCCCAGGTCCCTCAGCCGTTCCCCATCACACCTGTGCTCCAGGCCCTGCACCAGCTCCGCTGCCCTTCTCTGGCCCTGCTCCAGCACCTCAATGTCTCTCTTGGGGTGAGGGGCCCAGAGCTGAACCCAGGATTTGAGGTGCAGCCTCACCAGTGCCCAGTGCAGGGGCACAAACCCTGCCCTGGCCCTGCTGCCGCACTGGTGCTGATCCAGGCCAGGATGTCGTTGGCTTTCTTGGCCACACTGCCAGCTCATATTCAGCTGGCTGTCAACCAACAGCCCCAGAGTGTCAGTTGCACAGAGTGATGCTAACCGGGAAGCTAAGCAGGTTCTTTTGTTATAAAGCCACCAATTTTCTGTATCTTTATACCCTTCAAGTAAGAAGACTTATTTTCCTGTTACTCTTTCTGTCCTAGGGAAAAAAGATGGCTGGCAGACCAGAGTGAAGAAAAATGTGAAGAAGCCAAGACATGAATTATGCAAACCAGGTGAATACCACAAGCAGTCTTCATCTGAGACACTTGGAGCTCCTCCAGGGAACACAGTAAGTAGCTGGATTTCTTCAGCAAGCGTGATGCAAGCTTGACCTTTTCTGTGTATTGCTTAAAAGTTTGGTGGGACAGCGTGGGAAGTAGGGTAATGTAGGAAGAAGAAGAAAAAGAAGGGAAGTATTAACCATCACAGGCAGATCTGTAATCATTTAAGTGTGTTCAGAGCCTGGAATGGAATTCAGGAATCACAAATCTTGATATTTTTCTTTTACCCTGTATTTTGTAAACATATAACAAAACGTATATTTTACCTCCTGGTGGTGGTTGGACTTTGTATTGGATGGCATCACACTACTCAGTTCACTTTGTTACAGATATTTTTGCTGAAGACTCAAATGAACTGGTGGTTTATGTGTGATTTCATAGGATGGAATTTATTTGAAGCACTGAACACAACTGAAAGTACTCACGCAAGACCGTTCTATTCTGTAAGCCAAAAGTCAGACTGGTATTACTGCACTGTGAATTTGTCCCTGTTGCCGGTATTCATTTGTATGTATCATGTCAACGTATGTTTAAAGGTTGGATCTCTTCACCATTCATGGTGCATGGGAAAGGTCATGCTCCTGGAATTAAAGCTAGTGAATGCAATTACAGTGTAGAGGGTCTCCCTGTCCTTACCTACAACAGAGGGATTAGTATAGGTATGCAGTGAGAGAAGGCATTTTAAGAAGGGTACAACCATCTTGGAATTTAAAGCAGTTTGATTATTCCCAGGAAGCTCAGATGCTACCCAGGGACAGCACTCAAGAGTTTAACCAGCTGTAATTTAGGCAGTTCAGAAGTCAACCAGTTCTTTTCTAAGCAAGTAAACTTATACAAGACTTTTTATTTACCTAGGAGTACTTTTCCTTCATAATTTATTAATCTAGTGTTTTATTTAACAGTACCTCAGCAAGGCTATTCCATTTCCTATCCCAGAGGACTGTGTGCTGCTGTACAGTTCACTTCTCACTGCAGCTTCTGTTTGTCTACTACTCATTTTTTGAATGCATGTCTTGAAATTGTGAGGTCTGATTTAAAGAAGAGCTGAAATTTAAGTCACTGGGCACAAAAAGATATATGGTATTAAAAACTGTGGCACATCAAGCCACTACATAGAATCGTAGAATGGTTTGGGTTGGAAAGGACCTTATGGTCATCTAGTTGTCTAATCCTCTGCCATGGGTAGGGACACCTCCCACTAAACCATGTCACCCAAGACTCCATCCAGCCTGGCCTTGAACACTGCCAGGGATGGAGCATTCACAACTTCCTTGGGCAACCCATTCCACTGCCTCACCACCCTCACAGTAAGGAACTTCTTCCTTATATCTAACCTGAACTTACCATGTTTCAGTTTGAACCCATCATCCTTTGTCCTGTCATTACAGTCCCTGATGAAGAGTCCCTTTCCACCATCCTTGTAGGCCTCTTTCAAACACTGGAAGGCTGCTATGAGGTTTCCATGCAGCTTGCCCTCTCCAGGCTGAACATCCCCAACTTTCTCAGCCTGTCTTCATACAGGAGGTGCTCCAGCCCCGATCATCCTTGTGGCCTCCTCTGGACTTGCTGCAACAGCTCCATGTCCTTCATACATTGAGGGCATCTTAACTTGCTCCCCAAAATACAGAGGTTTGTTGGTACTTTTCTTCTTTACTCTTTCATTTCAATCAATCTGTAACCTTCGTTCATAGGCATGTTATGGAGTTCAGTCAAGACTCCGGTATTAGGGAGGGATGTGATAAAATAGCCCATGACTAAATCAATACAATGTGTTTGCAGTTAGTATAATTACAACTGAGTAGATAAGAAGTAAATAGTGAGTACCTGGCATCCTATACTGTGAATGAGGCGAGAAAATGTCAGTACTTCCTAGATTTTAAAAGAAGGTTTTGCAGTCTCTATATATATGTCTCTCTTTCATCAGCAGTGTATGGTGATGGGTATTCAGTGTGTTACGGGAAAATTATTGTTGTTCTCAAACACTTCTTAGACTCGAGTGATTTTCATAAGGAACAGCAAAGTGCACTTAGGACCTCAAAGCTTATTGATGAAACATGACAGGTAAGTACAGCAATTAAATGTCTGACATATCTTTCAGATCATACTCAAAAGCATGATAAGCAATTGTAAGATTAGAACAAGGCAAGAGAAGACTGATGAGCAACTCTGCAGTTTCCATTACACAGTAAAATTACGAAAGGATTTTCTACTTGCTTAAACTGAAAGTCACGCACTGCAGCACTGTGTTAGTGTTAGAGACTGTGTTGGGTAGAAAAGAGTGGGCTGGGGGCAGACAGTGCAGCTGCATGCTTGGTGAGGGGTTACTAAAATCATTGCTTGACTTGACATAGTTGCTGCAGTGCTCTGCTTTCTTTTCCCACACTGCAGTGATGAGATGGATATGGAGTCAGCACATCCTTTCTTACACTAAAGTAACAGTGCAAAGAACATAAACATAGCTCCATTCACCACCAGTGGGGTGGTTGGCTGTCATGGTACAGAAGTGGAATAGGAGAGACATATTGGGAGGTTATTCTACATTCGTCAATGTACACCTAAGTAAGTCTGATAAAGAACAAAAATGGAAATTCCTTCCTCACAAAGAATGCAATTATAGAACAATAGAGGGAGTATTTTAATGAACTGCTTAATTGTGAGAGGGATAAAGGCAAGCAATAAATGCTTATTCTCCAACCAGCTGAGCCATCTGTGGAAGAATTACATTTTAAGGAGATTTAAGAGGCAATCAAAATACAGGAAGTAAATAACAAAACACCAGGTGCTGATAATGTTTCTACTGAAATACAAAAATGAAAGGGGGAGAATTACTGAAAAGTTTTACAAACTCACTTGGTTGTTCTGAAGATCTGAAAACACTCCTGAGGAAGCAAGGAGACATGTACTTGGCTTAAATCTTTAAAATTCATCAGTTGCTGGTGGAAAGGTATTTTTTATAAAGCTAAAAAACAACCTCTATCAGTAGATTATGAGGTGATCTTCTGTATGCAGTGAAATAATTGTAAACCCTAGTTCAGAAAAAGAAAACGTTTGACTGGCACAGTGATGATGGTGCCTATTTGATTGTTTTCCCCTTGAATTGCCTCAATACCTTACCAGCCCTCAGATCTTAAGGGTATACAGGATGAGTGCCTCTTGTCCTTTGGCAGTCCAAGGACTTGCAGAGCTCATCACATTCAGGAAGGCTAAACCAGCTTGATATGAGTACTAAGCATGTGTCTAATCTTAGGGTTGTGCATACATGCTTTACCAGATTGAGGCCCGAGTCTCTGATACATTTTGAACTCAGGTTCCAGAGTTCATTCAGGAAAAAAAAATGGGTTTCTTCAAAACCATCTGGCCAAGGAACACCTGACTGTTTCCAGGCATTTTGTATTTTAAAAAGTCTGATTAATTTAGAATCTTTAAAAATACTCCTCTACACAAAACCAAACAACAAACCAAACCCCCAAACCAGAAAATTCTGAATAATTGCACCTCACAAGGTGAAATTCAAGCAAAATAAGGCAGTGAGGTGTGGAAGATTATTTTAAAGTTTACTGGGTCAAGCTAACTCGAAAGAGTTCCAACTATAACCCTTGCAGATATGTCTGTATTCATTATATATATGTATGTGTGTATGTATGTATGTATGTATGTATGTATGTATGTATGTATAAGGCTGTCTCTGTGTAGTACCAGCAGCTAAATGCATTGGGTACAACCTAATTGTAAGAACAGTGTCATTAAACTGGAAGAATCAGAGCTCACACTGTAAAATGATGAAAAATACTCTGTGCCATCAAGCTCTTGAACATCTGAAATTATATTTGATTTAAAGGCTAAAGAGTGGCTGTCAAATAACAGTGGTTGTCAAAGACTGTTCCTCTAGGGATGAAGCTCTGGTTGAGAAGAGTTGCCTACACCAGGCTGAGTAGGGCAGCTTAATAGACTTGGTGAAAGACAGTAGTCTGGGAATAGTAACTTGAAGTGAGAATAATGGTGATGGGTCATTACTATTTGTGTTTAAGCTGAAGAATAAAATAGTATCCTGCAAAAATCACTGGAAAGATGGACTGTTTGCTTCCTCCTTCTCAGGCTGCATCATGCACCACTTCAGCTGCTCCCTTTGAGAGCGGCGATGGGTGAGACAGACACAAAGTACAGTGCTTTATGTGTATTTCCTGGCCAAGCAGCTCTATGGCTTTCACTACTCTGCCTCCTTGGCTATTTGGTTCCATCCTCATAGCTGCAAAGCCTTGCAAAACATCTCCACCAAAGAAATACCAGTCAAAATAGTACTTAAGGTAGTCCAATATATGAAAAGGTACTTAAAAAACCAGTCATCGGAGGAACAAGATTACAACTGGTATCCCTTAGTAATAGCAAAAGGCTATTAGTACTATTAGTAGTTCACAGATCATTTAGTTGAGCTGTGGCTATAACCACTCATCATTTCAAACTGAAGTGGAAGATCTTACATACATATATCCAGATGAACACAGCTGCTAAGCTTGACTTGCATTGGTCCTGCCACCAGCAGTGGGTGGGACAGTATCCTCCTGCCTCTGCATTATGCCTCTGTTCATCTGCTCTTGGCTGGTAGAGATGGAATTGTGAGGAGGCATTATACTTCATTACTTTAAAATAAGTGTCTTAGACAGAGTACATAAACCAACACTCCTTTTTCAATTATTTATCACTTTCTGTACTAGTAGAGTTATCATGTTCAATTTACTGTATTAGACTTTCTGTATCTTCATATGCCCATTGAAGATTTTATGAGAACATCCTCTCAGCCTTACAACCATTCCACACAGAGCTAATGATGGATTGACAGCAGCTATAATACTGGCATAGCTTTGGTTATGCCTGCCAGTATTTTCCTTCCAAGAGAAGATGCTTGGCCAAAGGCAGGCATGAATCCAGTAAATTTCCAAAATTAAGGCAGCCGGTTAATGGTAATAAGGAAGGAAAATTTAAAATTCCACCAAGGTTGATTTCCTCCAGAGTATTCAGAGAGGAGCACTTGTGTTTGGAAGATCAGTAAAATAAGGACCGAATCTGCCATCCAGAGTCCAATCTGCCAGGGATGTCACTGGGAATGTTTGAATATAGACCAGGTAAGTAAGATGGAGTCCCAAAGAGAAATGTAGCTCTTTTTAAATCTGTTCCTATCGAATAAATCTGTTTGATATGCAAGACTTTGCCAGATAATACAAAACCCCAGGACCCTACTAAGTTATTCAGGATGAGTCTGATAACACTGAGATTATTAAACAGTAGTATCAGATAAAAATAAACGTTTTTCACTTCAGAGCTGACCTACCTTTCTAATGTAAATTTATGGTTATTAGAGGAGGTTATTTATAGCTGTCAGTTCAAACTGTTACATAACAGTACTTCTGCCCCGTGCCTTTATTCACAGCTAGAAATCACAGTGATGAGGTATTCATGCAAAACTGAATGAATGTAGGAGTGATAAGAATGCACCAGACGAGTCACACACAGAAATCCCAACCTTTGTTTCTGCTTCAAATACATCAGGGACATTTAGGAAAACACAGTAGTCTTAAATCTGGAAAATAATCAGTACCGTTTATAAATAGGCTTGTGCATATGTTTAATGCCCGAGTTACTAGTGCTAAGTGAATTGTGATCTTTTCAAGGTTACTTGGTTGAAAATTATGGAACGTACACCTCAAATTTTAAGTGGGCAAAGAAGTACAAAAATTCTGAGTCTTTAAATGTTAACACAGTTCTGACTTGGTTTACTTTCTATGCTTTTTAACATGGGACAATTTATGAAATTCCATCATCTTTTCTACTTCTCCCATTTTCTTCCTGCAGTAGTCTTCTGACCTCACTTATCTCAGCATGGGCAACAACAATCTAGAGGGTTTCTTTACCTACACAGCAGGATTGTCAGACTTCCACTGTGTTTCTCCATATATGCTGGCAGAATATAGGATATATTTCAACTATAAAATTGCAAATTTTATTCAAAATCTATTTCTTTCTTTTTTTTATTCTAATATATACATAAGCACAACAAAGTCGGCACCTCTGTCTGACCTTGAGGAAACCTAGCACAAATTGTGTTATGTGTATAGTGAGTCCTTCCAGAGGAGGCAGTAGAATGTTAGTAGAAAAGCAGGAGGTGCTGCAATATACAACAGAATATAACAAGTCACACCCACATTGCACTGAAGTGAACTGATTTCTATTTTGTCTCCTTAATTCCTTTCAGGGTCACTTTCCCTGGTCAGCCATCGATCAGATCACCTTGGGGAATGGAATATTCAACATTTTAAAACCAGCTATCATTGCTGAAGCAAAAAGTTGGCTCCAGTATGAATTTGCAACTGCAGATTTGTAAAGAAAACATACATACAGTATCACTGAGACAAGTGTACTGCAGGCAGTGAGGCACTGGACAGAGACAGGTTTCTTGGGTTTTAAAAATAGATTCTTGGCAAATCCAGGTCTAGTCCTGGCAACACAGCCACAGATTGCAGGAGTGAAACTGGGCCCAGGCCAGCAGTGTGGCACAGCCAGCTAAACTCCATGGCCTTTGAAACTGAGGTCTGAATTTTGCTGCTTGTGGCCATCTCTACACGCATACAGACTCTTTGGTCTTCTGTGTCTGTGCTGCCTCTGGCTCACCCTAGCTACATGCAGGCCTTTGTTCTGGCTTTTGGCCTTCATGCTCTTCATCTCAGACTGCCGCTTCACCCCTGCTCCAGGATGCTTCCCAGGTATTTAATGGCCATGTTTTCACAGCTGCCCATTATCCCTATTTTGCAGATACATGACTAAAATCCATGAAAGAAATGTGAGATTAAGCTAGAAATAACATTTTTAATATTCATTATCCCCGTCTAACATACCAAGCACCTCCCCACTATATGTCTACTATATGTTTGGGTTCCCCACATATGTGTACTGTGTGTTTGGGTTTCCCAGGTGGCCTCTATCAAGCCTGGAAGTGTGATCTGGATGAATTTTGGACGCTGAAGAGGGCTTTCTTCAGGCAGGCCAGTCTCATTAGCTTTTGCTGGGCACCTGTAAATCTTGCATGCAGCCACTGCGCATACTATAATATCCTGTACTCAGATATGTACAGTAAATCTGACTGTACCATCTGGCCCATTGAATAACAGACATCTAAATTGACACGTTGGATATACATGGAGAAGAATTAGGACATACTGAACACTGCCCTACTCTGGCATGACCACTGAAAGTATAGTCTAGTCCAGTTAGAATGGCCTTTAGTTTAGGCCCCTAATTTATCCTTGAGATGGGATCTTTGTTTCTGAAGTTGCCAATCCAGGTGATTAAGTGTGAGTGTGTATGTAATGATTCAGGAATTGCATGAAATATTCTTCTAACCTAAGTAAAGGAATCAGCTTTGACTAGAACCTATATACAAAATTTTACTAAGACAAGGCACATTTCCCAAATAACTTTATGCCTTCCTACGCAAAGGTCTATTAACTCAGTAATACAGGTTATGAAAATGTTGAGAATTTAAATGCATTATTATACCTGTATATTTTTGTGAACATTTGTGCTAATAGAATTCCGAGTGTTCAGCAATGAGGTCCATTTCAAAAGCATGTGAATACTCATTAGTGGTTTTTTGTGTTATTCTTCTAGCTCTTCTTTGGTACAAAGTTTAAACAACAGGATTAGTACTCAGAAGACACTAATTAGGGCATTCTAAAGCTGCTGTATAAATTACACACCATTTTACATGCTGAAGTATACTAGTTTCAGAAAGAACTCTAGACATTCTGCTGCTGTTAATAACACACCTAACTTTTAATCCGTTAGTTTTTATAACAGTACCAGAACGCTAAGAAACTGCCCTTTTTTGTGTGGCTTGGCGATGTTTGCCCCAAACATGTTTTTTGCTTACAGAAATATCTGCTACAGACACTGCATCAAAGTGCCAGAGAAATGTGAGTCATTTTCTGATATCTAGAAAAATCTGGATGACTTGGACAAGGAAGCACATCCTGCCAACATGACTATAGCTACAGCAGTCAACAGGTTTAGTACATTTTATTCCTCTTTTACTTGATTAGCTATAGAGTTTATACTTTGTCCTCTGTGGATCAAATACCTAAACAAGTTTTGACATTCCAATGTTATTCTAGCCAACACGCTTTTAACAATTTCATAGGGGAATAAAAGTGCTTAAAAGGGACTGTTTGATAGCCCAGTGATTCTGCAAACAGCAAGTGGGACAAGTGGACAGAGGTGATATTTCCTCTTCTTTCAATTGGTTTTGGTTTCTCCTTAACTAGCCTGTTTATCACAAGTCACATCATTCAGTGGAGATTGCAGGTCCCTGTACTTGCAGAATTTTGTGTAGTTGGTGTGGTTTGGGGTTTTCTTCAGATTAGGAATAAATCACAAGTCATCTCGATTTTCACCATCAGCACTGTTGTTCCTATGAAGGGAATTTAATTAATTAGGCTGTCAGTTTTCAATCCAGTAGGAGGTTAATATTAGCATGTCCCAAGGATCTGAACTGTGGTTTGTACTTAATACATTCATTTATTATCCAGAAAGGCAAAAATGAGGGGTAGAACAAAAAAACGAGCTCAGCAGGATTTGCAGATGACAAACTTATTTAGTGTAAGGCTTAGTAAGAGAGGGCTGTGATGAACTTCATGGAAACAGAACTAGACAAATTGGCAGCATAATGGTTGATGAAATTCAGACACTGACAAATGCAGGGTACAGCATGTTAGAATGAAAAATCTGACCTGCTGTACACGCAGCCTTGTTCTAACATATCACTCACTGCCAAGGGGAAAAAGAGCCCCCAAGCACAGTTAAAAACTCTTCTCAATTCCCAGAGCAGTCAAAACCAAGGTCCTGTAATACGAAAAAAATAGCATTGAAAAGTCCCACAATGTAGTGGAAAAACAGAACTTCTGGTTTTACTTTAAGCTTTACAGTAAACCATGGTCATTCCATCTCACATGAGATATGATAGAAGAGGGCCGCATCTCTAATAACACCTAAATGCATCTAAAGCCTGGTTCGTTTCTGATGCCAGCAGCTGGAAGCCCATTCATGCAACACCTGCTGGGCTGCGTAGGAGTCTGTGATGATAGTTTGCCTCTCTCTGATTTTCATTATCAAGCTCAGTGCCATTTGGTAATATTCTCTGTTCCATCCATTCATCAAGGGGAGATCTGCTCCTTACTACATGTCCTCAGTCTGCTTTTACTCATTTATGATCACCCCAAGCACATCAACATCCATCTTCCATGTGGTTTCTCTTAACCAGCTAGCATCTTGATTGCACCATTTGTTATATTCTTTATAAATGTTTCTTCTCAAGATCCTGAGAACATTTATATTCTCCTTTCCACCCATTTGCTTTTCTTATTGGTTTTGGTTCCTTTTGAGTAAGTTCTCACTATCTCAGGTCAGTTCTCTGCATAACAAGCACACTAATCGGAGGATAACAGGACAAGAAGATCAGCTTATAAACTTGTTAGAGCCAAGCTTAGTTACACTGTAAGCAACAGTAATCCTACAAGACTAAACACTTGTTAAATGAACTCTGCTCCAGCATGAAGCAGTAACGAGTGGTGTCCCTCAGGGATCGGGGTTGGGACCGGTCTTGTTCAACATCTTTGTCACTGACATGGACAGTGGGATTGAGTGCGCCCTCAGCAAGTTTACCGATGACACCAAGCTGTGTGGTTCGGTTGATACCCTGGAGGGAAGGAATGCCATCCAGAGGGACCTCGACACGCTTGTGAGGTGGGCTGATGCCAACCTGATGAAGTTTAACCATGCCAAGTGCAAGGTCCTACACCTGGGTTGGAGCAATCCCAGGCACAGCTGCAGGTTGGGTGGAGAAGAGATTCAGAGCAGCCCTGCGGAGAAGGACTCCTCAACATAAAGAGGACATGGAACTGTTGGAACAAGTCCAGAGGAGGCCACGAGGATGATCAGAGGACTGGAGCATCTCCTGTATGAAGACAGGCTGAGAAAGTTTGGGGCTGTTCAGCCTGGAGAAGAGAAGGCTGCATGGAGACCTCATAGCAGCCTTCCAGTATCTGAAGGGGGCCTATAGGGATGCTGGAGAGGGACTCTTCATTAGGGACTGTAGTGATAGGACAAGGGGTAATGGGTTAAAACTTAAACAGGGGAAGTTTAGATTGGATATAAGAAGGAAATTCTTTCCTGTTAGGGTGCTGAGGCACTGGAATGGGTTGCCCAGGGAGGTTGTGAATGCTCTGTCCCTGGCAGTGTTCAAGATCAGGTTGGACGAGGCCTTGGTTTAGTGTGAGTCATCCCTGCCCATGGCAGGGGGGTTGGAACTGGATGATCTAAAGGTCCTTCCAACCCTAACTATTCTATTCTATGATTCTATGAAATTGCAATTCTAAACTTTTTCTCCAGTGGAATTGCCAACAGTTCTTTGTAGCTGTGGTGGTAACTCAGACCCAACCCCACAGGGGGCTCTTTGTCTCATAATTGCAGGTTTTCATGCAATCATCAAATTTTCACTCATTTCAGTAACAACATTTTTTCTTAGTTTTCTCATGTAAGTGGTTTACAACAAGTTGCAGAAAATGAATCAAATTAGAAGAATCTCTGTATAGCCCAATCTTGGCTTATTTTACAGTCATGGGCTTTGACTTGAAACGCGTACAGCTCTGAGTATTTCACATTATGAGAGCCCCCACAGTGCCACACTGGTTTACATAACAAGGGATCTGACATCATTCCTAGAAAGAGGAAAAACGGGTTAAAGCAACTGCAGCATGTGGCTTCTCCTTGTGAATTATTCTTCCCAGATTTTTATGCAGTTGCCTACATTAATTATAAGGATGCCAAATTTGATGGACAGCTCTGTGTCCATCAAATGAAATTAGTCAGAGATTCCCACTAATACACTGGATAAAGGTCTGCAGCTTGGAAATATGCAAGTTGTTGAATTTTTCACTTACTAGTTCTCATTTTGCAACCAGGATCTCTGTTCACAGCTGACTGCTGCAGCAGCTTTTGGGACTGCGGTTATTACCAATTGTTTGAATAAAGATTTGGTATTTGAAAGTTTGAACCTTTTGCCTTTAATGAATAGGGCAGGGTGAAGGGAAAAGGTAGTGAATTATTCACTAACATTTGGGTCAATTACAGGCAAATGACTCTTTCAAATTGAAAAGTACTTGGTGAAAAGCAGAAGACAAATGAGATTTTTCTGTATAAATAATGAATAGCCCTAATTTTTAAATGTAAAACCCAAAATAAAAAATAAATTACCCTCCATTATCTGTTCTGTAGCTTTGCAATAGGATGTGTTTGGCTTTCGGGAGTTCAGAGCACCTTCTGGTCGACCTTCACGGAGTCTTCTTTCAGATCTGATCTTGCATCTGCTTCGCTTTAAAGACTGTAATTCTATTCCACTAAAAATATTATGCTAAAAGCTCATAAAGCCTTTTTCCTTCCAACTTAGGCTTGATTTTCATCTTGCAATGAACTAAACAGATGAATTACACTGCAGGACTGGGTGCGTGTGCAAGTGCTGTATTTGCAAAAAGCAACGTTTGCTTCAGAATTCAAATTTAAGCCATATCTCAGGCACTTAACTGTCCTCTTTTCTTAATCCTAGATCTCCTTGTAAAGGATGTAATTTAATTAAAAACAATTCAGTAGAGCACAGGATACTCCTTCAGTGCAGAAGCTATTTGTAAAAGATCTAAATATTTCATTGGCTTTCCAAATTGTTTCACAAATGCATCATTGGACTTGGAGATGCTCTGCCCCTCAGCAGATGTGTGCCTGTACTTACCCTGGCACACTGCATGCCCTCTGAATTGTTACATATGAATTGCATCTTTTGCTTTAAACTGATCCACAGTTGAGGTGAGTGTATCTGAAGTGGATATATGGCTGCAGCTCATGGTTGCTTCTGGTTTGTAATAGCAAATAGCTGGCATTTTGGAAATAGTGTCCTGGATCCTACTCTAGACTGTGCATTCCTTCCCACCGGCACCGGGCTGCTCTGGATAGAGACTAACATTAAAACAAAGCCTTGATGCCTTAGAAGGCCAAGCAGGGTATCATTTGAATCAGATAAACCTGCTTTTCCCTCAGAGGGTTCTGTAATCAATTGACAAGCAGAAAAAATTGATGGGTTTTAATCTTTTCTCTACTTAGATGAAAAATTAAAACAAGACTGTCTCTTAACACATGACAGACAATTGAAGACATCATTCTGAACCAGAGCATATCTGCCCTGCAAGCCAGGAGATCTAGTTCAGGCTGGTGACCTGAATTTATACCTGGCTACTGATTGTATCCAATTATGTACTTACATCCATGATGCATTTGCATTTTGCTGCAGTTCACCATTTACTCTTTGTGTTGCCTTTTTTGCCTGCTAACAAAGCAAATCCCCACTGTACTAGCCTCCACTCACAACGAATGAAAAGTGTGAATACATTTTAGCTATGGCAATACAAGTGGGTAATACAAATTTGGCTTGGTAATATGGTTAAAATACACAAATATTCTTTGTAAACTGCTAAAATTTAGCTTCTGAAAAAATGCAAGGATTTATTTTTTTTTATTAATGAACCAACAACTTGTATATTGGATACTGAAAATAAGAAGGTACCTGAAGTTTTATCTTTACACAGCACTGTCCGTCACCCCTTCTCCTCCTTCCCTTTCTCCCAGCTGTCCCTTGCGTCCTGGTTTATAGAAGGAGCAAAGAAATGCTATTGTCTAATAATTAACAAAGTGGGTAAACAGCTCAGTGTTGCAAGGCAGGCACCAGGAAGGGGGAATAGTCTCTAGAGATGTCAACTTAGTGTGAATGGGCTTGTCCATGTGGAGGAGAGAAGGCTTTGGGGAGACCTTGTAACAGGCTTCCAATATCTTAAGGGCGCCAACAAGAAGCCTGGAGAGGGGCTTTTGACAAGGGCCTGTAGGGACAGGCCAAGGGGAATGGCTTTAACCTGCCAGAGGGGAGACTGAGATGAGCTCTTAGGCAGAAGCTCTTCCCTGTGAGGGTGCTGAGGCGCTGGCACAGGGTGCCCAGAGAAGCTGTGGCTGCCCCATCCCTGGCAGTGTTCAAGGCCAGGTTGGACACAGGGGCTTGGAGCAAGCTGCCCTAGTGGAAGGGGTCCCTGCCTGTGGCAGGGGTTGGAACTGGATGAGCTTTAAGGTCCCTTCCAACACAAACCAGTCTGGGATTCTATGAAAATTAGCAAGGGTTAAGCAGTCCCTCTGCTTGACTACCTCACTCCTAGGCAGTGAGCTCTGCACACAGACTCCAGGAAGAGGGAAAGGTGAAACCCAGAGCATACTGCACTGCCAGGAGACGGCACCGATCTGTGTAAATATTACATATAGCTTATTTCAAATCCAGCCAGAGTAACTCACAGTCTTCTGTTTCTGGAGCTAGGTATTTACTATGGAGTTTGTTTCTCATTATCTGTCACTTGACATAGCCTCCAGCTCATCTTGAGTCCAAAATAACACTATGAGGTTTTGTAGCATTCTCAGTAGGACACTGGTGTCATACCCAATGCATGGAGCATTTACAGTGGAATAAGAGTTATCTGTGATGATGGACTTCCTGCCTCTGGCCTTCAGCTTAAACACATTTGAAAGTACGAAGAAGGTGGCTCCCCAGGGGCTTAGTTGTCTCAACAATCTAAATGGATGAAATGTACTGCAACTGTTCAGCTGGGCTCATATGGAAGGTGGCTTCCAGGCTAGGTTAGTTTTGCATGATGGAGAGGAATTTAAAAGGACAAGGAAAACACACTATTGAGTTTCTTTTCTTTTTTTAACAAATGCCACTGTTTAGTCATGCAAATATTCAAATAAAGCAATAACAGCTTGCTAAAAGACAGACTATTACAAAACATACCAGTTCAGATAAAAAGATGCTAAAAATTATATCTATATATAAAATAACAACACTGAAGAATTGGGTAATACCAGAATAAGATTACTTGTGCAAATTTAATATACCTCTTCTTTCATGTGTAATATTTTAGAATCTTTTAATTACTTCTTCAGACAGTGCTGCTGTATGGGCAGGGACCTTTCAGAAGGACCCAACTCTACTCAAGGGCACAGAAAGGACAATACTGAGATTCTTTGTTTTCTCATTATTCAAACATGTGCCGAGAAGTTATCTATTGTGCATGATTCAAACCATGCTCTGGAGAAGAATAATTAATGTCCTTTTCTGTCACATCCATCCATCCAAGAGCCACCACCAGCAAACAGATATCCTGCACCCCAGAGAAGCTGTGTAATTACAGAGGTAGTGGTGTTAATAATGCTAAATACACATGTGAACAGCTGAGCCACAGGTCCATAGTTCACAGCTACTCATTAAAAATGTCCTTGTTTAGGGGCATACTCAAGGACTCCTGACATTGATACCTTTAAATGTTACTTTTGTTCATTTTACTTATCAACAAGTCTGTAATGCCAAGCCAGCAATGTGCCAACCTCAGGCACCCCCTAACCAGTGTGTTATTAGCAAGCATTCAGTGAAAAGCTTTGGTCCTAATTATGAAGAACAGTGTCAGAAGTAAGTTGATACTGGGAGAGCCTAGAAAGAATATACTGCATTGCATATTTTGGTTCCCCATACTCAACCATAACAGTTCTTACAAACACGTGAAACTCCTGGGGGTTCTGCCAAATCCCAGCTAGATCTTCTGTCCCTCATAGCAGCCACGTAGCCCAAGGATGTCTGCAGTTTTCACAGGTAAATTATTTCAGCTAGAGAACTAGAAAAGACCAGACTGACCCAGCAGAACTGACTCACCTTGAAGTTAAGCCCATATTTCATAAGAGAACTTGAGAGCTGCAAATACTCTCATGGGCTTCACTAATCAGAGAGAGGGCTGGGGTGGGGAGAAGAGGGAAAAGCAGGGCAGCAGGCAGGAGATGAACTGCCTTACCTGGGCCTTCCATGATTTTTATAACTTTTCCAGCACTAAAAGAAGCAAGAGAAGTCTTTACCCCATGCTGCTGCTTTAAACCACCCAAATCAAGATGATAGAAGCTGCAATTAATGCAGCACTAATACAAGAATTAGTGTAATCACAAAGGCTGAATGAGAAGGGTGCTAATTGCTGGCCATTGGCATACTGCAACCCATAAACAGCCTATTAGCCTAAGAAGTGAGGGAGGTTTAATTACCAGCACCTTGTATGATCAACATATCTTAGTCAAAACAACTTCCTGGGGAATAAAAATTAGGTGTGAGTTGTTTCTCACCCATTGTAAGGAGTTTTGCTGAGGCAGTTGAAAAGCATGGAGAGGTTTTGCTCTGGCTGCAAGTGTTAAGCATATGGAAGATGGTGAGGGAAACAGAAGGGCTCATCTTTTCCTGCAATTCTCTTACTCTTTGTAAACATTATGAAGGATGCTTTAGTAATTCCTAAAAAGCAAGATTTCTTAAGCTGCAATTGCATCACTGTGCACTGAGTGTATATTTGTTCCCATACTACTTCTACTACCTTTTCATATATATAGATATATATGTATATACATATATATATGTGTATATATATATATACCTTATGATTCTTCACCAGTAAGAATTTTTATTGCAATGCAACCATGCTATGTTACTTTGTTCTAAAGAAACAGAGATCACATCTCAGGTATAGGAGGATGATGCAGCAGTATTTGTCACAACTAGTTTTGGGGTAGATTGTGTCTGGCAGTTCCTCTGGCCACCCACCAGAGCAGCCCAGAGTTGTGTTGCAGCCACACGGAGCCAATGCAGGCTCTCCTTTGACGCTTTATTTTCTTGCTGGTAGGGTTTATCTTCACTTCATAGACTTTTGGCTTCCTGAAGAGCTTCCTGGGTACAAAGCAGAGCAAGCATGGTTGCAGGGTCCTGCCTGGCACCTTGAATTCTGTGAGCAGTGTATCCCAGTCTAGATCAATTGTAATTAAGTCCATTTAAAGAAAATGTTGCTAAAAGTGACTGAAAAATTGATTTGAAATTCCCATTGGGAAGTTCCTTAAAGAATTTGATCACCATGAGTTGAAGGAGTGTTCTTCACCCTTTAAAAATGAACAGTGAATATCCCCAGCATCCCCCATGTATGCCCTTTTTCTTTTGAAGTGCTTTGTATAACAGTTGAATTCTTTCCATCAAGAGCCATGGCCTGGCCAATGGCAGGGGTGCACAGCGATGCTCTTAGGAGCTGCATGGCCTTGCTTAGCTACATTTTCCTATGTCTGTCCTCTTGTGATCATGGCATCTTTGTCATTCAGCAGCTGAAACTTCTCTCTTACTGGAGGGAAGTTTACTATACAGGCATAAGGAGCTGGATTGTACCAGCTGCCTGCTTGTGAAAACAAGAGCTGGTATTAATTCATGATGCCTAATACAGTTCATCTCTATCATGTGCTGTGATATTGGAGAACACATAAAATGTCCTCACTAGTTATCCCAAGACATCTCTATCTAAACATCTCATGGTGCCATTGAGGAATTTCATCTGAAGGCGTTTGAAGGAGAATTTCTGAATAGTTCAAAACTATTAAAGCTTATCAAACCTACAAAGCCTGGAATAAAGCCAGGTCATTTAGTAATGGGTCACATAGTTGTAGTTGCTTTGCTTCTCTTGATTGTGCTTAGCTGAATGTTGCTATTGGAATTCCTTCAGGATCTCTCTTGAGGTGTTGTTACATTGCACTTAGGGATCTAAAACTAGTACAAAAATAGGAAAATATTGGAAGGGATGATGGATTTGAAATGTTTCAAGTCTGGTTCATGTCATGATGGTTATTCCCACAAGGCACACCTCACTTCACTGAACCCCTCACTTCTCTTGGAACAGCAGATCTGTTCCTGGTCATTGCAAATGCCACTTGTCCTGAGGCAGCAGAAGACTCATGCTCCTGCTTACATTTTAAGTGCCCGGCTTCAACCTGTAACAAAGTAGTAATCATGTAATTTTTCTGTCGATTTAAACCAGATTTCTATATTGACCTTGCTCTTTAGAGAAGATTCTTTCAAGAAACTTGAATTTCCAGGTCTATTTGTTTTGAAGCATAAGCTTGAATGTCCTTACTTACTGTGCAGTACCTTTTCTAAAGATGCTGCACTTCCAAGGAACATGTGATGTGTACCTAAAGGACATACCAAGGGTTCTGATTAATCTTCTCTCATAACACTGTTGGACTGGACATTAGTCCCTTCCTAGACTTTATTCCGGTAGGAATTCTCCTTTCTACTTATTTCAGTAGTAATTGTAGGAAATAGTTATCCATTGGAAACTGTAGCAATTGTTACCTTGTCAATGGGAAAGGTGCAGGAGGCCATCAGAAACAAAAAGATGTCCCAAAACCTGAGATTCAGTCTTTCCCTGGTAGATTGCCAATGTTTCTTACACTTTTATCACCAGCTGAGTACCAGGTGTCTGAATGTATTTCTATGGAATGTGCTTGGAAAATGAAGGAAAGAATTTTGTGTTTTACTTCACTGCTTTCTTGCATATTATAAACAGACTAAATATCACTCATATTACCAAAGCACTCACAAATCAGAACAGAGCAAAGATCAACTAAACGTGCTCATCTGAATGTGCTAATTATTAGATGAAAACAGGTTTTGTGTATCTGGTTGTCCCCAGGAGTGAACATTATGAAATCTGTACAAGTTACACACAACCCAGCTTATTTTAATAGATAAGGGAGTGTTAGACTTCAGGTTGTCTCTGTAATTGGCAGTGAAATGATGAAATTTCACACCATACATACATTTATAAATATGCTCTGGGAGAATGGATGCGTATGAACTTGGAGCAAAACCTGAGGCAATAAGGCATGTGTTATTAATGAATCGTGTTTCTGGCCTGTGCTTACGTTCCCCCAGTTAAGGAGATCGCTGCACTCCATCAGGACCTCCAAATGAAACACTTGTCTGAAAGCTTCCCTCACTTCAGAAAGCACCTCCTGGTGCTAAATGCCATTTTCTCCATGCTGATACTGACTTGCAGATTGTCTACAGTGCACAGGAGTAAATCAAGCCTCATGGCTTCCTTCCCTGGTCATGGGCTCGCAGTGTCAGGAGGAGTCCCTCTGATGAATGTGAGGCTATTTAAGGTCTGTTTTCATTAAAGCCTTGCTGGGATGTGTACAATCTGAGCTCTGTTGCGGTTTTCTACGTCTCTCAGTTTGAAACTCTTGTGACGCTGCAGGCACAAAGTGGTGACTAGTGGTGTCATGCTCTATTGTTTTAAAAACTGAGGACTGCAGATAGCTGTAATTCAGTGAGGGAGAAGGACTTACTTAGGCTAATAAGAGGGAAGACAGACTGTGAGGAGAATAATATCTTTAAGGAATTTTCATTTCCTGCTGTTCTGAGTGAAGCAAAGGAAGAAAACTATCAGTTTCTGAGCTATAAAAAGCACAGACCTTTTTCTGCTCTGCTGGATTACAAGAATCAATAATTTCACATTTTCTACACACCACAGAAGTAAATGCCTGATCTCAGGCATGTCACTACAGAGCAGTTCAAAGCCCTCAGGATCAAAGAGATTACAGTAGCACAGGCTCTCAAATACTATTTTCTGAATGAAAAGCACTGATTAAGACTTCTGTAGAAAATCATGTAATAATTTTGAATTATATTGATCATTTTTCCAGGAAATTTTCAGTCCTAATATAAATTAAAAATCCCTTTTCTGTATGTTCCTTTAAAAGCTTTTCATCCCTGGTTTATCTGTAG